TCGATTTCTTTCTAGGGAAGAGTGAGTTGTAGCGTGATATACTTAAGGAGACTATATACACGCATTTCTTTATAATGATGATATTGAACAACTTTGTAAAAACTCTTGAGATGACTTGATAATATATAGAAATTCGGACAAGATGTATATTTTTCTTATTAATGGTATTGTTTATACACATGACTGGATGATGTGGAGTGGTGGTTTCGGTTTTACAAATTTATCAGTGTTCAGTGCTTAAGGCACGAAAACGTAACAGACATAGGTAGAAATTCGTTTTTCTTATATTAGTATAGAATTTCTAATTTAATATAAGTAGCATTAGCAGACATCGCGTTATAGAGAGCTGTTTTTATTACCATTTTTATACATTTTAGATACAAGATATTATAGGTGAACTTATGTTCTTACGTTCTATCGATATTTAAACAAAAAATCATCTTCAGCAGTTTTTACGTGAAAACATAACAGATGAACTGAAGTCAATTCTCGTATTAAGTCCCGTCAAAACTTAGAATTAGAATTGACCTTCAGGAGTTCCTTTCACATTTACAACATTAGTACGTACACAAGTATAGATAAGAAAAGGAACATTACAAAATTACTTAATGAATGTTTTCAATATTCAATATAGTACACATTTAGCTAGCTACAACGTCTCTCCATTGTATTACGTAAACGTGCGGAACTAGCGTGCTCTCCAATTTACTGGCGCAGACCCCGTAACACGATATTATCTGGATCGTATGTTGACACTCCACGGTTACACTGCACCATCTTTAAAGGTGAATATTGAATTACCAGTCGCTATTTAAAACATTTGGAGTCTTCTTAATTCTACTTGAGATGAATGTGAAGACAGCGTATGTGACACATCGAAGCTTATAGAAAGAAGCATGATGTAATCCGAGTCATTACTTTTTAACGACTTTCTACTCCTTGAGGTTTTTCTAGAGTCAGTTTAGATAACGTTTTCGTGCGCTAGATAAGTTGAAGGTTAGATGACAAGAAAAGCTTACTGTGAGCAGAACTAACTGCATTTGTATTTAAGTTTTCCATTTGATATGCAAGCGTGTAAATCTTGTATTGATACAGGTTATCACAAAAACTGAAAAACCAGATAACACGGATCAATATACATCGGTTTAAATAATAAAAAAAACATAGTACGAAAATACAGAAATGCAAATTTAGAACAAAATAAATACAACAAAACAATAGCCGAATTAGAACATCATTGTTAACATGAGTCGGTGAACTTTACGCGGCAGCGTCGCAATGTCGGCGACATCAAAGCGACGCCGCCGCCGCGACGAGCCGGCGAACTTTACATTCTTATTACCTACCTACTAATCACTTTACTTGCTTTTTAAAAACTATTTATTAAAAATACGATTTCTTTCACGTGTTTATTTTGGGAATGCTCGACTAGCTTCAGACCCGGCAGTACGTGTCACTCCTTGAAAAAGTAGGTACTTTGGTTGTCTCGTAATCTTTTTACCGCCCTTACAAAAATTCGGCAGTCCGTAGGACATACACGATTGATTCCATACCGCGGTTTGTCCGTAAACCTAAAGATGTGTTTTGATAGAGTTCCGTAAATTAACATCATGTCAGGATATCCCGCAGCTGTGAAGGTTACTCGCGGCATTATGGATGTTGATACCGATAACCCAAAAGACTAAAAAAGACTGACAGACACACAGAACCTAATATTGACACTATCAAAATAAAATTAGCGGGACTCGTTACAACACAAAGTCTTGCGCACACGATAACATTAATTGTTCACACAATTGCCGTGTATTATGACGAAAGCAATAAGACTAAACAATCATTAACACAACAAAACTCTTCTAAACAAATATCTCACGAACGACAACAATATTGTTATTACGCTAATTTTTCGTGAGCGCATCTACAAGGACACAGAACAGCATAACACTCGCCGATGGCCAAAGGCCGACTGACTGGACTTACTGGATGAACTAATTAAAAACGCGTGTCCTTCATCCTGATAATAATCAACAAATTTCTTTGGATTCGAGTGTAGTAAGCGGCAACGAGTGATTACCGCGCCGCTGATCGCCGGTCAATGTATTATGACTGCATTTACACATGTTGCAAGTTACGAAAACAAAAAAAATGTCCTGTTTCTAAACCACTGAATATTTATTGTTCATATTTTACAAATCGTCTAGAAATAAAGTGCAGAATGTGTGGTTTACAGATTCGTTAAAAAATACATCACATTCTGTATAATCCTAAAAGAAAAGGTTTCCGACATGATTTGCAACGGTTTTTTTGGATGGATTCATAACTCTTACCTATGAAAGAAAAACGCACTCCACGTCTGCTGTATTAAAGTACGGCCTACCGGAGTTGTCAGAAACTGCCTTTTAGGTTGTACCATTTTTTTTTTCTGTGCCGAAATCACCCCGGATACCACCTATCGATGGCATGTCGGACTCGAACCGACTAAAACCGCACGCCGTCTCGTGTACTAATAGCCGGGGAACCAGGTATACCCTAGAAAGGAAGGCCTGGTGCCCCGACATACCTCGGGCCATCTACAACAAGTAGACGACCCCCCCCCCCCCCCGTGTGGGAACCCCGTGTTCCCTCTGCTCCCTTGAAGCGAGCGCGCTTCGCAACGCGCTCGCCGCCACCCCGGCCTGCTTCTGCTAGGGTGTCAGATGGCCTCATCTGTCACCCTCAGGCCTGCGCTTATGGAGGACGGAGGTCGTTCTGCGACCTTCTGCGCCTGAGCCGCCTTCGGTACCTGGCCCGTTCCCGGGCGGGCCGGGAGAGTTCTAAACCTCTCCGAGCTTCGCGAGCGTAACTTGCTCGCAGAAAGAGACGGCAGAGTTCCACGCACTCTCGCTCCGCACGATAGCCGCAATCAGGCTATCGAGCGAGAGAACTCCCACTCCGATGGCCGCCACGGGGTCTCGCCTCTGCTCAACCAACGCCGGGCTTCTGCCAGCGTGTGGAGAGCCGTGTCCACGGTCTGGCCATCGCAGTGGTGGTTTAGGTTGTACCCTAACTTCAGCCATAAGGTCATGTAAACCATTAATAAGTTGTTTTAACAACTATTTATTCGTATTTTATGCGTTGGCGTACTGTTCATCCGACATCGTTCATTCAGTTTCCCAGTGATGTAGGGAAAGACAGGTCTCTCCGAATTCCGAGGAGTAATATGTGTCTCACTGAATATATTATGTAAAATTACGCTAGCGAAGCATATTATACAATAAGTTGTTTATTAACAATAGCAATATACCAATATAGTAAAAAAATAACAATACAAAATATTATTAACTATAATTTGCAGATTTTCCTTTTATTCCTAGATATATTTTTAAGTTAATCTACACAATTTTAATCTACCAGTATTTTTTTCCACAATACAATGGTTAATTCTGAATTGCTTAAATCAGAATAATTTATTCCCCTTATATGTATGAGTAATATTTACGTTACAACGACTTCAATATTATTTAGAAAGGAGATCCACGTGTTTTGTATTACCCGATCTCTATTTCTAATACGAAGCAATATGGGCATTATGCGACTGCGGGGGTGTTCGTGGGCGCCCCTAAGTAAGGCGTGCAAAGCACCGGTAATGCCTCCCAGGACAAACCGTTTTAGTTGAGTCATGCCTACGTTTTCCCACAAAAAAAAATCCGTTTAATATTATATTCACCATAACGTGGGTGTCTATGCTATTTAGGATTTTATCGTTCAACAGTTCAGATTGGCAATTAGCGATAAGCACTTTATATAAGCAAACCAGGTTAGCTAGCTAGTGTGTTCATATTCGTTTGACGGGGCCATACATGAACTTGTTTTTACATTTATTATATTAAATATCTATTGACATTGTTATATGAAATGACAGGGTTGAATCTTCTGTCGCATTTTAATAAATATCCCTTTAGCCTAGAGGTGTGGATTTTCCTTTCCTTTCCTTTCCTTTCTAAAGTGTAGATTAACTTAAAAAAGGTTTTATTGATGTTAGGACTAAGGAGAATCATTAATAATATAATTTATTCCGTCCTAAAATCAATTTAAAATTAAACCTAATATTGTTAATGTGAAACAACTGTTATTTGAGATTTTTAAATCTTGTTGCTACGCTATTCATAGAAGACACCGTTGTATGAAAAAAAACCGTAATATTTAGCATTTATTTATGAGTTTATAAAAAAAGACAACCTTAAACAGCGTTGGTAATTAATTAGCAAATTGTAAGAAAATATTAATCCTAAATTAGAGGCATTGCTGTTATTTTTACGAGATGTTTTTATTTATTACAAAAATATTTGGTCCGGTTATCATATTATGTTAACAAGTAATGTACGATTTTAAATATTTAAATAAACCAGTATTTTAAGTTAAACAAATGAGATGACGGGTCACCTGAGGGCCTAGTGCAAGTTTGTTTCACATCAATTTGCTCGTCACGGTGACCGCGTTCTGCGTTGGGATGGACCCGCGTTAAAATCTTAATGGTTTACCGGTTTGGGCTCCGGTAACCTCACTCTTTGGTTTTCCGTGAGGCCTTTTTGTCATTGGCTTGTCATGGCTCTCCCACTATAAAGTTAAAGTAATGTATCCCGTATACTCGTTATAATAGCCTCTACGCTACGCAAACTACGCAGGACAACAATGCAAAGAGAAGGAAAACTTGACACAAACCCTATATCAATCCGTTTGGCCAGCGTGGTATAGTAGGCCAAAACCTCCTTTCTCAGGAGAGGCCTATGTCCAGCAGTGGACTATTAAAGGCTGGTTATTTGACGTGATGTGAAAAGCCTCTAAACTATGACTGTTTGTTTCGCTAGCAGCTCAAAAGACTCTCCAGATCTTTCTCTTTGGTTTTCTGTGAGGCCTTGGTGTGATTCCGGTTGAGCCGGCTCTCCCACGATAAAGTTAAAGTAATATATCCCTTATACTCGTTGTAATAGCCTCTAAACTATGACTGTTTGTTTCGCTAGCAGCTCAAAAGACCCTCCAGATCTTTAACATCGAAATGAAGTCGAAGATGAAAGCGCACACGATGACTGAAGACATTGTATTCTGGAAGTGGATCTCGTTAAACACCCTGGCGCTGGTAACTAAAATGTCGGTGTACCATTGGTCTATGGAGGGTGATTCCACGCCGGTGAAGATGTTCGACAGGCACTCTTCGCTCGCTGACTGCCAGATAATCAACTACAGGACTGATCCAAAGCAACAGTGGTTGTTATTAGTCGGTAAGTGGTACATGAGTGTAGATCAAACGTGTAAAACTATTAGTAGAAAATAATTAAGGAAGCTAGAACAAGTTCAAGTTACATAATATCGAACAAGCAATTCACTTTCCATATGAGGTTATACTTTTGGACCTGATTAATTAATGTGTTCCACGTTTACAATTACAGGAAATGTGACATCACAATAGGTAGGAAGGTACCACAAATATTATGAAACTCTTGTAGTCTAACTTAGAGATGGCCCCTTGCAAAAACACTATTAAAGATATAATGGCAATATCGATATCTCACTATAGCAAAACTTTCCAAATGCTTGCATAATCAGCTCTTAGGAAATTTAACTTTACTTTAGAATCCAATACTGGATGATTCAAATAATGAATTATCTCAAATAACTAGCGTGACATTGCAGTTCTAACTTTACGTAACTTCTAAACGACACTATAGATGATCCTTTATTGTTCTCAGGCATTTCAGCTCAGCAAAATCGCGTGGTGGGAGCTATGCAGCTCTACTCAGTAGAGCGCAAGTGCTCGCAGCCCATCGAAGGTCACGCGGCTTCCTTCGCGACGTTCAAGGCTGAGGGTAACGCCGAACCTTCCACACTGTTCTGCTTCGCTGTCAGAACTGCTCAAGGAGGCAAACTGCATATTATTGGTGAGTTACACAAATTCTTATATACAGGACTTTCTACAGTCTTAGAATAATAATGAAATCTTATGGTTAGCTTAATGAAAGTTAGATAATAAATCAAATCAGCGCGGAATGTGTTTATTCTTAAATTTCAAAGTGCATATGAGGAAGTGTGATATTAATTCGATTGGAATTAGTTGGTGACAGGATGATCAACCACAAGGAGAATGGTATATAAGCGTTGGTGGAAATCCTAAAATGCACAGAAGCTACAAATGCTTCAGATGTTCCTGTTATTAAATCAATAGTTAATCACTTATTTTCTTCACAGAGGTGGGCCAAACTCCCGCGGGCAACCAACCATTCCCAAAGAAGGCGGTAGACGTGTTTTTCCCGGCCGAAGCACAGAACGACTTTCCGGTAGCAATGCAGGTGTCGCCGAAATATGACGTCATTTACCTCATCACAAAGTACGGGTACATCCACATGTATGATATCGAAACTGGCACGTGCATCTATATGAACAGGATTTCGTCAGATACGATATTCGTCACAGCTCCTCATGAATCAACTGGAGGGATTATCGGTGAGTTTTCCTTTAAAATGTACCAACTAGCTGTACCCTACTAGCTGTAGCTGCATTGATAGGAAATGAGGAACCAAACTGATGCGAAAAATAGATAAAATCTATCTTTGAAGCGGGTTGTATATTATGCCAAAAATGCCAAAAGCTGAACTTTTTGAGCTTTTGTGTTTGAAACAAACAAACCAACTTAACATTTATATAAATATATATTGTACAGCAAGACATGTCAGCTATGAAATGTTTGAGTATCATGTTTTTGCAAAGGGTAAGGTAATATTCCATCCGTATGGATATTCTATACATATCCGCCTACGCATATTTTAGTTAGCAAGTACAATATTATCTCTGTTCAGAATAGATAAATACCATAATTTTTAATAACCTGTATTTAGGGTTTGTAAACTCAGTAGAAGCAATTAAATTACACTTATTTGCAATAGAAATCTTATTATGCAAAACCTATTAGGACTTGAATCGTCTTATTGCCTCAAATCCTGCATGTTAATGTTAATTTTGAGATTTGTATTTAATTTTTAACGCCCTCAAGAGTAATGTATTTAATTAATAACTTTAGACAAGAAGTATTTCAAACAATATCACGAGACGTAAAGGTTATCACCTTTTTGTATCTTCATATTGTCTGGCGTACTTATGATAATAAAAAAACATAAACATAATATTATTATGATGCTTATTTGCAAATAAATAGTTCAGTGAATCATATGGGTTATTTCTTGTTTTCCACTCATGATCCCAATGCAATACGCTCATTAATTGCGCAATCTACATATCAAAAACGTTCTGCGATGTTTTTTTACCATTGCCTCCAGATTGGATAAACGGGTCTGGATGAAATTTAGCACAGAGACAAATTACAATCTGGAATAGCACATAGCTTTTAACCCGAATAAAATTATGTACAAAATTGATATTAACGCGGGCAAAGGCGCGGACAAAACCTAAAATATCTTTGTTAATCACAGCGCCATCTAATGATAAAAAAATGGTACAAAATATTACTACTGAACTATGAGACTTATAGGGTTACGCATTAGTATGAAATTAACGTGCAAGTGTATATTATGAATATGTGTAATATTTGTCCAAATACCTGACAGTTTGGCAAAAAAATTTAATGAAAAATATTCATATTATTAATTTTCTACTCGATCATTTTAACATCAGACCGCAGCAGATTAAAGAGAATATTGCATACTTTTCCATTTACGCTTTTCGAAAACAGGATAATTTTTTGTCTTGAAGTTCTAAAAAAACTTATTTTTTTGTCAAACATGAGCGTTTGAATTTGTACTAAAGGAGTTATAAGTAGACACTATTACTATAGCCGTCCAAGAAAGTGTAAATAAGGTGAAATATACCTGCACATTCGAGGACGTTTTGGGTGCACGAAAAATGGAGGAGGTTAATCCTAGACTAAACTTATTGGATTAATTTATTCATCTTAACACCAAAACTTATTGCGACTCGCGTCATCCACTAGTAAAATGGGTCAACGAACCGGTTGATAAATAAAAGATGTAACTAGAAGCGCAGTTAATTTGCAGGAGTGTAATATCGATATAGTTAAGCAGAATCGTAAATGACTGATATTTTATTTAGCATTATCCCTTTGTCCTGGACAGTTCACGACATGTATGTTCTTATTTTGAAAACTGCCACAACACTTTAGTTTTAATTTTCTTTTTTTGTTTAGGTGTAAACCGTAAGGGCCAGGTGCTTTCTGTCACAGTAGAAGAGGACTCGATAGTTCCTTACATCAACACGGTTCTCCAAAATCCTGAATTGGCGCTTCGATTAGCTGTAAGAAATAACCTCGCGGGTGCTGAGGAGCTGTTCGTTAGGAAATTCAATATGCTTTTCACCAACGGACAGTATGGAGAAGCAGCCAAGGTATTGTACTACTTACGTAACTTGGTTTAAGACCCATAATACTATCGTCATGTAAGATGGACCTATGATGTACTGTTATTGAAGCTTTAATTCAAAGGACCTTAACACTGGCCACTATGATTTCAATGAAACCTATGTTAGTCATTTTTAGTTTTATTATAATTGGGCGATCATAAAACATTGCTATAAGCAAAACTGCTATCAGCAGACAGCAGTCTGTAAGGTGTCTTATGCCTTTAAAATAGTCTAAGAATTTAGTTATTTTCTCAAGCATAATTTCATATCAAATGTAGTTGTGTATATAATTTGTCTTTGGTTTTTCAATAGTTCGCAAGTTTTATTGATGGTGTACATCAACTTGCGAACTATTGAAAAACAATGCAATATAATCTACTATAAATTAGTTTTCTAAGGTAAATGACTCCTCATTTATACGATGGTGTGGTAAACTGTGTGACTGATATAATTTATGTATGAAGTATCGGTTGGTTAGCGGTGTGATCGATATAAATACGTCATCGGTCGTACATATACAATTACTAAGGAATTAAAAAACGCGTATTTCTTTTAAAGCTTGTGATCTATTAGATCGCCTGTGTATTATGTTATTATGTGAGCGTAAAACATACTCGATGGATCCGTGGCGGGTTCAGCTGCGTAAGATGTCTTTAATACAAACTCATATTATACACATATTATTTCACCCCAAATTTTGCAGGTTTTATTTTCCATGTCTGTTCATAAATTCATAAAAATTAGTTCAGCAGATTAGGCCAGAAAAATATTCTATCAGTAACGATTTAGTCTTCTAATATAAATAAATAAGGTCTTTAGCAGACTGCGTTATAGACAGTTTTTTTTCTAAATTTTATTTCTTGTTTTGCTTCTTAGGTAGCAGCAATGGCGCCTAGAGGCATTCTTCGTACTCCGCAGACAATCCAACGGTTTCAGCAGGTCCCTACACAACCGGGCCAGACGTCGCCGCTACTTCAGTATTTCGGAATTCTGCTCGACCAAGCCCAGCTTAATAAGTTCGAGTCATTGGAGTTATGCCGTCCCGTGCTGTTGCAAGGTATATTGAGAAATACAGACACCAAGGCATAAACTGATCCAATCATACGACCATAACCAAAAATTCAATCATTCAAGTCATGACATTGCTTGTAGCTTCAGAAGACGTAAATAATAATGTTCCGTTAAGTCTTCTACATCCCTATCCCATATATGTAAAAAATGATTTTTAATTACTCAAATGTTACAGGTCGCAAGCAACTTCTAGAAAAATGGTTAAAAGAAGAGAAACTAGAATGTTCTGAAGAGCTTGGTGACTTGGTCAAGCAGGTTGACCCTACACTTGCTCTGTCAGTGTACCTACGTGCAAATGTTGCCAGCAAAGTAATACAGTGCTTCGCCGAGACTGGACAGTTCCAGAAAATTGTTCTTTATGCCAAGAAGGTTAGTAAGTCCTACCATCCACACATGGAGATACGTTTAGAGAAACGGGCTAATACACCAATATTCCCCCTTTGAAATGTTTTACGAAAATATTGTAATGTTTATAATAAAAATGTTAGCTGTAAAATTTCAATATCTTCCAAAGGAGTTTCGTAATTTGACACACATACATACTTATCCCTATTCCAGTTTATAAAACAAATCTTTAAATTATCGTTACCCATAAAAATATTTTTTACCCATCAGGTTGGCTACACCCCAGACTACATCTTCCTTCTACGCTCAGTGATGCGAACAAACCCTGAGCAAGGCGCCGGCTTCGCAGGAATGTTGGTCGCTGAGGAACCTCCCTTAGCCGACATCAATCAGATCGTCGATGTGTTTATGGAACAGAATATGGTCCAGCAGTGTACCGCTTTCCTTCTAGACGCGCTTAAGAACAACAGGCCTGAGGAGGGGCCTTTACAGACTAGGTATGATATATTAAGACCCTCTTTCATCAATATTACACAAGAAAGTAAGCTTTAATTTTTAGACCATAAATCATGTCATTCTATTTGAGACAATATGGCCTTTATTAACTGAAGTGCATCTAGATTGTCAAGAAATCAAATTTTAGTTGTTATCTTTGAGTCATACTCTTAGTGTCTGCTCATTTTTGTCGGAATCTAGAAAACTAGAATTCTTAATGTGTTCTTAAAATTTTATTTCGGACAAGATAAAAAAGTTCTAGTTGGAGATTTGGTCATTTTTATTTTAGACTAACAAGATTATTATTTCTTATAAACATTTGCTCCTCGTTCATACCGGCTCCATATAATTAATATATTTTTATTTCTTTTAGTTAGTGAACAAACGTATAATGTTGTTTGTGTTTGTTCAGGTTGCTAGAAATGAACTTGATGTCGGCCCCACAAGTGGCGGACGCGATCCTGGGCAACGCGATGTTCACGCACTACGACCGCGCGCACGTGGCGCAGCTGTGCGAGAAGGCCGGCCTGCTGCAGCGCGCGCTCGAGCACTACACCGACCTCTACGACATCAAGCGCGCCGTCGTACGTACCACCTTGCTATATTCGCTAATGGGCCTAAGTGGATTTACTGTATTTCCAACTCCTCCAATTTTCTTCTGATTAATTTCGTTGCGGGTTCCAAGACAGTTTAATTTCTTCCTGGGACTTCCCGAGTGTCATAACTCGGTGTGTTCGTGGGTCACTGCTGTGGATCCTGGTGTACAGGAGTTACAGTGGTGGGCGTGTGGGTGGGATTAGTCCCAATAAATGGGCCTCCTCGACCGGACCGATACCGAAAACCAGGCCTATGATTATGAGGGGTGATACTCAAAAGACGCCAACGCACTTGCGACTCTCGTGTCACTGACCATCAGGTGTCCATGGGCGGCGGTAGTCACTTACCATCAGGTGACCCGTGTGCATTTAAGTCTTAGCTCCATACTAACCGAAAATATTTTGATCCAACAGGTGCACACCCATCTCCTTCCCGCCGACTGGCTAGTCACATACTTCGGAAGCCTATCCGTCGAAGACTCCTTGGAATGTCTGAAAGCTATGCTTCAGGCCAACATTCGTCAGAACCTACAAATCTGCGTGCAAATCGCCACCAAGTATCATGAGCAGTTGACCACAAAGTCCTTGATAGAGTTGTTTGAAAGCTTCAAGACTTACGAAGGCTTGTTCTACTTCTTAGGGTCCATTGTTAACTTCAGCCAAGATCCAGAAGTACACTTCAAATATATTCAGGTGTGTAATAATATCTGTATTAATTTATTATTATATATAACATTTATTTCCCCACCCACCTAAAAGTTATGACTTCTATTTCTTATTTTTAGTGTTATCATATCATATTGTTTGTGAATAAGAATTGAATTATGGATTGCACACAAACAATGTGGGAATGTTTAAGAATTATATGTGTAAGCAGGGCTAATGTAGGTGATTTTTGTGTCCCTTAGATACGTTGAAGCTTTGTTCAGGGTATGCTTGTATAGTTCCATACCATTTAATAAAATGTCATGGATGCAGTGTTCAAATAACATTTATTCAATGGGTTTTAGTAGATAAAACCACCAGTCAAATAAACAACATCACAAACATTTTCATTCATACTTTTAGGCTGCCTGTAAGACTGGTCAAATCAAAGAAGTAGAACGCATTTGCCGAGAATCTAACTGCTACAACGCCGAGCGAGTAAAGAACTTCCTGAAGGAAGCCAAGTTACCCGACCAGCTGCCTCTGATCATCGTGTGCGACAGATTCGACTTCGTGCACGACTTAGTACTGTACCTGTACAGGAACAGTCTGCAAAAGTATATTGAGATTTATGTCCAGAAGGTAAGTGTTTTTCTCCTAATAGCTTTTTAGGAAAAAATGTATTTAGTAATTGATTTAAGATTGTTATTTTTATTTATCATTGGAGCAGTTGGAGTAAATAAATATAGTTAGAATACAGAATAAAGCCAATATTTATGATCCTAAGTATTATGGATTTAAGAGTAGTAATTCGCCACCATTCTTAATAAGAGTGATCAAACTAATACAATGTATTTTGTACTAGGTGAACCCATCCCGTTTGCCGGTTGTAGTAGGCGGTCTATTGGATGTTGATTGTGCAGAAGACATCATCAAGAATCTAATTCTGGTGGTGAGAGGACAATTCTCTACTGATGAGCTAGTGGCTGAGGTGGAGAAGAGAAACAGGTGCGTTTGCGTAGCTGAAAATCTAGTACAGTAATTAATTAATTAGAGAAAAGATTATAATCCCAAGTTCAGTAAAATATCTACTGATACAAAATGAATGAATGTGTATTAAAACAGATTTTACGTTATTTTAATACAGAGGAAAGACTGAGCTTGCATTAGGCTCAAGCCTGGCAAAAATCGTCTTGATGGTTAATGTCGTAAATAAATATACTAATCTGTGTGAGAACCTTTAGTGTGCGATTGAGGCTCAGTAGTTCCTATGTATTTTGGTTGATCTTCCCTACATGGCACCACTAATTTATGCTATGTATGTATTTATTGTATAAAATTATAAGTGACGCGATGTTTTCAGACTGAAACTGTTGCTCCCATGGTTGGAGACACGCGTACACGAGGGCAGCAACGAACCTGCCACGCACAACGCACTCGCCAAGATATACATCGACTCCAACAACAACCCTGAGCGGTTCCTCAAGGAGAACCAATGGTGAGTTATGAATTTGCTATCACCATCATTACACATCAACAGCCTCTGCTAAACACAGGCCTCTCTTTAGAAAAGAGGTTTTGGTATGAGGACAGTTTTGTATAAGGTTTGTATCAAGTTTTCCTTCCAGCCTCTAATAGTCCACTGCTAAACATAGGCCTCTCCTTAGAAACGAGGTTTTGGCCTACTATACCACGCTCGCCAGGTGGGTTGGTATAGGGTTTGTGTCAAGTTTTCTTTCTCTTTGCAGTTCTGTTGTTCTGCGTCGTTTCCTCTCTAGTCGGTTTTCGACACCCACGGAATAAATAAGGGTGGTGACACTCCGTATTCTTAATCCTATACACTACACAAACACTTAGTCACTACACAAACATCTGCTATATCATTTTCTAAAACAGAATTCTAGAGAAAGATACTATATTATACTAGCTTTTACGCGCGGCCCCGCCTGCGTGTATAAGCTAGTATACACGCAGTAATCGGTAATCTTGGTTAAAAGACGCTTCTAGAGGGGTAACATAGCAGACACAGTAAAGGTCGCAAGGAGTACTCTTACTCTATCACCGATGGACCCGGCACCCGCACGGTGAATCCATGGAACGCCAAAAAATAGGTCTGAAGTGTATAGTAAGGTGTGGTGTGGTGCAGGTACGACTCGCGCGTGGTGGGGCGCTACTGCGAGAAGCGCGACCCGCACCTGGCGTGCGTTGCGTACGAGCGCGGCCAGTGCGACCGCGAGCTCATCGCCGTGTGCAACGACAACTCGCTGTTCAAGACGCAGGCGCGCTACCTCGTGCGGCGCCGCGACCCCGACCTGTGGCTCGACGTGCTCGCCGAGTCCAACCCCTTCAAGCGCCAGCTCATCGACCAGGTACCTGCTCACGCGCTGACGGAATACGACTAACCCCATAACTCAATTAGCGATATGAGAAATTGATAATAAATTGAATGCGCAAAGTATGACAGAAATAAAAAAAATAAGAAAGAGAAAGTAACATAGTTTTTAAATATATGGATTAAGTAATGTCAATAATGGTTCAGGTTGGTCAGGATCGCATTAGTCGAACTGATTGTTCCGTAATAAATTCAAAACCATTAACAAACAAAGAAATTATATGCTTTCAACTTATAAATTGAAATATTGCAGGTCGTCCAAACAGCGTTGTCTGAAACTCAAGATCCAGAAGACATCTCTGTTACCGTTAAAGCATTCATGACAGCTGATTTACCAAATGAGCTCATTGAGCTATTAGAGAAGATTGTACTGGACAACTCAGTGTTCTCTGACCACAGGAACCTGCAGAACTTGCTCATACTTACGGGTAAGCAAATTAAGTTCTTAATATTATTGTAAAGTGAAAGTAAGTTTTTCAATTTATTCAATCAAACTCAATTGCGATTTTGAAAAAAAAAATGTTTTTTTTTTAATAATTCGCCATTTTCTTTAAAAAATTATAAACAAAAGTAGGCAGCTCTCTGATTCTCTTTTATTTTTTAAGCTTTTACGTTACGGATAAGGTTGGTCGTCACTTTGATGTACAAACAAAACTCAAATCTCAAATACGAAATGTTTACCTATTTATTTCTTTAGGATTTAAAGATGTTCGATATATACTTTATCGATTGAAATTTGTTTTATTTAACAGCTTTGTGTTAATTTTGTAGCAATAAAGGCGGACCGCAGTCGTGTGATGGAATATATCAACCGGCTGGACAACTACGACGCTCCCGACATCGCTAACATCGCCATCAATAATGAATTATACGAGGAGGCATTTGCTATCTTCAAGAAGTTTGATGTCAATACTTCGGCTATACAGGTAACAAAACTGTACAGGTATAAAAACTGTTAAACCTAAATTGAAATGGGATATATGATGATAATTTCAAGATTTACTGCAATTTAATTTTAAAATTAACCTTTAATTTCTATGAAAATAAATTTACTCGTAAAAACTTTAAGCTATAATCAACTTGATTATTACTTTCTCAGGTGCTGATAGAACAAGTAAAAGACCTGGAGCGCGCATACGAGTTTGCCGAGCGCTGCAACGAGCCCGGCGTGTGGTCACAGCTGGCCAAGGCGCAGTTACAGCAGGGCTTGGTCAAGGAGGCTATCGACTCGTACATCAAAGCAGATGACCCTTCGGCGTATATGGATGTCGTGGACACAGCGACCAAGCGAGAGTCGTGGGAGGACCTTGTTAGGTATCTACAGGTTCGTACAATTGTTATTTATTTACTTATTTTGGTACTTAATGAACTTGATTCGCGTGATTTATCGCCTAGATTGTCATTTATAATCGGAAACCAAGTAGCATGGGGCATGACAGTTGGTTTTTTAAATTCATAATAATAATTATTAATAATAAGAATAATTTAACATCATGGTCGCTTAACTATTTGAGATTACATTATAAGTTAAGCATGACATCAATTTGTCTGTGACGCTTACACACTTGTAATAAAGTAAGTTATAGATATATTATTCTACTTTAGTGGCTTACATATTTCGGTAAATTAAAAAACCAAGTCATTACCATTCACTTGCTTCTGCTGTCTTTTAAGTGTTCAGCTGAATTCTCATAAGGGTTGTGTAACCTGAACCTTATAATTTAGTGTCTGAATGAAAAGAATGTTCTGCTATGTTTATAGAGAACTATGGAAATAAGAAAATCGTTCTATGAATACGAACAGATTTTATAATATGACTAAGCAGATAACAAATGTCATATATTTATTTTACACGATGTGTGTGGTGTCAGATGGCGCGCAAGAAGGCCCGCGAGTCGTACATCGAGTCGGAGCTGATCTACGCGTACGCGCGCACGGGGCGCCTGGCCGACCTGGAGGAGTTCATCTCCGGGCCCAACCACGCCGACATACAGAAGATCGGCGACCGCTGCTTCGACGACCAAATGTACAACGCCGCTAAACTCCTCTACAACAATGTCAGCAATTTCGCGAGACTCGCCATCACGCTTGTGCACCTTAAGGAATTCCAGGGTAAGTCAATACTGTACTAATTTTTCATATTCAATATTATTTTAGTGATGATTAAAAGTTTCATGTTTCAAGTCATATAATTGAAAACAAAAATTCTGTCACAATAATGTAATAAGGGTTTAAAATAAAGAAAAAGGTAAGGGAAATGTGAATAGAATATATTACTATTGGTTGTAATATCTCATTGTCTAGATGAAATTTGGCACAGAGACAGATTGTATTCTAGAATAGCACAGACTCCTTTTATCTAAGAAAAAATTATTAACGAAATGACATTGAACGCTAGTCAAGCCGTAGGCAGAAATAAATAGCGTACAATCCGCTATATGGTATGCCATTAGCATTTTCAGTGAACACTTATAATACCACTCATGAATTACTAACTGCAAAAGAATCGCAGACTTAATAAATTAGAAATAAAGACCCAGGTTTATTAATCGTTATTTTCTACAGCATTGAGTGCCTTCTTCTTCACACATTTATAAACAATGTCATTTTAATACATCAGAAAATATGATAGCAATTGAAACGCTAGATATGGTTAGTGACCCTGGTTTGATTGCCACCCAGGACAAATAACTGTGTGATGAGAAGGTCATTTGTTCTGTGACTGGGTGTAATTAAACTATAATATGTGTGTATTTAGAAAAATATAACTACGTTTATCAGTAGTCTGGTTACTATGGTAACCAGACTACTGATAAACGGCCACTTGCTCAGCCTTGTTGGAATGAGACTGCCATCATTATATGTGTATGAACAATATGTAAATGTGCAGGCGCGGTGGACAGCGCGCGCAAGGCCAACTCGACGCGCACGTGGAAGGAGGTGTGCTTCGCGTGCGTGGACGCCGGAGAGTTCCGCCTCGCGCAGATGTGCGGCCTCCACATCGTCGTGCACGCCGACGAGCTCGAGGACCTCATCAACTATTACCAGGTACATATCACAAAAAAAATATCCTTGATTTCATTTATATCTCTACTGTTTACAAATGCTCTTACTTAACTTACTTTTAAAATTTTCACCAGGACCGCGGCCACTTCGATGAGTTGATCAGTCTACTAGAAGCTGCCCTCGGCCTGGAAAGAGCTCACATGGGCATGTTTACAGAGTTAGCCATCCTTTACTCCAAGTACAAGCCTGCCAAGATGCGAGAGCACCTCGAACTGTTCTGGTCGAGAGTCAATATTCCTAAGGTGAGTTCTATAGAAATATTAATAAGAAAAGACAATGCCGCGCCAAATAGGTCTTTAAAGATAAATAAAATAAATATAACATCAACCAATCTTACTGACGATATTCCGGTCGAATAGCAATTGTAATTGTCATGGGGTTACATTGAAGGCATATGATGTCTTCAATTTAAGTTAGTTGAGTTTTTTCTGATTCAGAAACTTATGAGATTTTTCATCTACGTCGTCGTCATCATCATCATCATCAACAGCCTTTAATAGTCCACTGCTGGACATAGGCCTCTCCTTAGAAAGAAGGTTTTGGCCTACGTGCACGTCGTTAACGTGCTTTTAATTAATCGACTACAGAGTTAGTTCACATGCGACTTATATAATCACATAGGTACATTACTCAACACTTTTTGTTGGTGTTGCAGGTGCTCCGTGCGGCCGAACATGCACACTTGTGGTCGGAACTAGTGTTCTTGTACGACAAGTACGAGGAGTACGACAACGCGGCTCTAACCATGATGCAGCATCCTACTGAAGCGTGGCGAGAAGGGCATTTCAAGGATATTATCACAAAGGTAATAGAATATCATGCAATTTAAAGCAAACATCCAAACTATATACACACTGTTCTGTAATGTACATGATGAAAGACGCAGAGTACTTCTTATAGCTAGAATAGAACTTTAAACGAGACGAAAGTTTACATACGCAGGCAAAGAGGCTCCAAATTTCATCCTTAGTGCGATATTTAAAAAGTAATTCAAATGCGAACATAAGTTGTTTTTTTTTTTATATTTCACATCCTAAAAAGAAGTGGTGAAAGTTACAGCATATTTTAGATACACATATTTAAGGATTCCAAACACTATGAAATCCATTAAAAAAGCTGATCACAGAATGTAGAAAAAAAAGCTCGTAAAGATATTATGGATGAGACTGAATTTGTTGTTTACTCTTTCGTGCATTAACTTCTTAATCGGTAGGAATTCAATTTTGCATATACCTTCTCAGAGGTACTGTATGCAAATATGAAAGAGCAGTAAACCTAAAGTGGTGTTAAGCAAATAGAATACTAATTACAAAAAATTGCTAACAGGTAGCCAATATGGAACTATATTACAAAGCCATACAATTCTACCTGGACTACAAGCCGCTGCTTCTGAACGACCTGTTGCTAGTACTGGCACCTCGCATGGACCACACGCGAGCTGTCACGTTCTTCACTAAGGTGGGACACCTGCAGCTGGTAAAGGCGTACCTGCGGTCGGTGCAGAGCCTCAACAATAAAGCTGTCAATGAGGCACTGAATTCGCTACTTATTGATGAGGAAGATTATCAGGTATACAATTTCTTCAATTTTATTTCTCTCTTAGGTACCTTAAAGCGATCCTTTTGAAATTTATATAAAACGTCGAAGTCAGGGGAACTCAGTATAAATTTTGTATGCTGAAGTTGCTTTTGTGCCTACTGCAAGCAGTTACATGGTACTTAACTCCAAACAGCTAAGCTACATGCTTGTGTTAGGGTGACGCTACGTCGCTTCCAATTTTTTATTTGTAGTTATTGTATTATTTGGTCATATAATTTTAAACGTCAATTGCAGGGACTAAGAACGTCGATAGATGCGTTCGACAATTTCGACACAATCGCACTCGCGCAGCAGTTAGAGAAACACGAACTCACCGAGTTCAGAAGAATCGCCGCTTACCTCTACAAAGGTATGGATAGATTTAGTTTTTTTTTATTTACGCCAAGTTTAATGCTTTAATAAAGATATATTTAGCTAGGTAATTAATTAGAAGTAATGTATGCTATTTACATAGCACATTATTGCATATCATATATGCAAATCACTAATTCCGGCAATCGAAGGCGGTTCTCGGGATCGCACACAGTCATAACAGCCAAGCAGGCAAGACTAGAAAGTGGTTCAAATATATAGCAATACAGTAAACATGTGTTTAAATAACTTGAGATGACTAACCACTAGAACAACCTGCCATAATATTATTGTGTCGTAGGTAACAACAGATGGAAGCAGTCTGTGGAGTTGTGCAAGAAGGACGCGCTGTACGCCGACGCCATGGAGTACGCGTCCGAGTCGCGCCAACCCGACGTCGCCGAGGAGCTGCTTAACTGGTTCCTCGAGAGGGACAACTACGAGTGCTTCTCTGCTTGTCTCTATCAGGTATATAAAACTATAAATAAAACTTGTTTTATCTTATGCCGACAAATACCTATTATTTTATCTCATTTAATACCAAAAAAGGTTTTTGCCTTGACAGGAAAGTTAAAGGAATCAATAATAAACCAAGTCTTCATCATCTTGGGTTGTACGCCCGATTACCATGATGGGGCAATTGTAATTCTCCACAGATAATTTTTCAGAAGTTTCCAGAAATCTAAAGACAAATGATATTGAGTATGATTAAAGTTATCAGTAATCACAAGATCAAAACGTCCATGTGCATATTTGTCATCTTGGTGGTTACAAACATCGTCAAAATATTTAGATATGAAGTCAGCATGGTCAGGCCATGTGCCTAATCTTAATCTATTGTAAAAACTTCTAACTCCAGTTTATCATTTTTATGTTTGTTAGATCGTAATGTGACTGTTTCCAATCACAAATAAGCATCTCTCATGATTCTCTGTTTAACAGTGCTACGACCTCCTGAAACCCGACGTTGTAATTGAATTAGCATGGAGACATAACATCATGGACTTCGCTATGCCCTTCCTTATACAGGTAAGGAAAATATAATATAGTGATTGATTAGTTTATAAGTAAAATATTTACTGGGAAAAAAAAAATTATATGAACCTAAGGAACATAAGATCTGTTGACGACGGCTAATATCCCTTGTGAGCTGACGTCAGTGCGTCTAGCCGAATCTGATAGTCACCTTTGGGCTATGATAGCTACGATTTTACGATATCTGGTTTTCGGTTCATTTACAATTAGTTTTGTTATATAACACCTACACAATATTCAGGGTCTGCCCACTTAACTTAACGGTGCTGAACGTATATTCTTATTTGCCTACCTAACGTGCCACGAGAGTGATCTAGTCTATATTAGTCTTTTATTTAATTTTCCATTTTTTAATGTTTTACTTTACTTTCTTTTTTATTCGATCTTTTTTCTGTATCTTGTTTTCTCTTCTTTTTAGTCCTTAAAAGTTACATACTGACACATCAAATTCTCGGTATATTTAATGATGCCATTGTTTGTCTCTGTTAATTAAAAATATAGTGTTGTTTTGTCCATTCTTCTCATAAGGCTCAACCCCTTGAAAATGGGCAGTTGTAGATTGCAGAGGCATATAAGAGATACTAGATACATATATATTTAGTTTGCTAAATATTTGACAAAACATAGATTGTTGCTATTGTGTGTTTATCTATGACTTTAGAATCTACACAAGAGACGATTTAAAATAATTAAAAAAAAAATATGAATTCAAGGTATTTTGAGTGTGTAAAACGTCAAACTATTATAAATATTTTCTAGTGTTTCTACATTCTTCTATAGACATCATTTATCTTTTAGAGCTATTGAAGACAACACTAAACACATAAATGTTCTTACAGACTGTTCGAGAGTTAACAACAAAGGTTGAAAAACTGGAGGAGGCTGACGCTAAGCGCAGTACAGAGAGCGCCGAACATGAAGCTAAACCCGCCATGATCATGGAGCCACAGCTTATGCTTACTGCTGGTTAGTACACGGTAGTCATGTCATGTAGATGAGCCATAGTTCTCTTTAATCTTAAACTCTGTATTAATTACATAATACTAAGAACTGGCAAATTTTACCTAAACAAATTGAAAATTTCCAACTCAATTAAAAAGTATTTCGCATTACTTCAGTGTGGAACCATATTAGTAAACCTATATATAATATTAAGCTTTGCTTTATTATAAAACCAAAAATCTTTTAACAATCATCACAAATTACACGAAACCAGACTAAACCTCACTGCATTCTAAGGAAAATTGCACACATAATTAGTGAATATTTTCCAAATACGACTGCAAAACTGGAGAACTAGCTAGTAACTCACAATAACTTATTTTCAGGTCCATCGATGCAGTACCCAGGCGTAGTACCCGGGGTAGTCCCAGGAGTAGCAGCGCAGGCGTCTCCCTATGCGTATGCGGCGCAAGCACCTTCCCCCGCGCCCTACCACGGGTACGGCATGTAGGGACACCCCTACCTGGGGCCCGACACACACCCCATACACGCTCGCACCCGTCTTATGAACTAGATTAAGTTTTCCCATGATTTTTCGTCGGGATTCATCACTTTGATTAGAGGATGTGTCTACATTGTCAATGGGATACTTCTATTTAAACGTCTAGGATAAACGTGCAGACGTGTAGGAAATCCTATTTTATTGGCAGATAAATCTTCACCGATCTGAAAAGAATGCCACTGTAAATTGCCTATAAATTCCCTCAGTATTTCTTGGCAAACCAAATTACGTACTAAGTAATACAGATCGTAAACAGATAAAGAAGTTTTAGGCATTTTATTCTCTTTTGTTACATTAGAAAACATTTGATACATTACTCCCAACAATGTGATCAACAATCAAATGTTTTATAATGAAAACAGAGGCATTTTTTTAGGAACCAAGGCCTAATGTTTCTTTACACAATCCATTGAAAAAAAAAAGTATTATCAGCGGTCGAGCGTGGCTCAATGTACACGCGGGGCCCACGCGATACTGAACTAAAATATTGTTAGCCTGTACAAATTATATTAATATATTTGATTGCTAAGTAGCTCTCATTAATACAAAGTGCTTTATTTTTAAATCGTGTATGAGAGTTATATAGAAGTTATAAAAAATTGTCGCTTACGTCGATAAAATTAACTACTTATTCGTGTAGTAACTTACACTAATATGTTAATGCCGTTATTAATCAATTTAAATGTTCAGCGATCATGTATCTATTATAGGATTGTAATGAGAGCATCTATGGCCAAAGCCTGTTCTATTGTTGTTTGCTGTAGTGAATTCATTTCATTCTTGTTTTTGAGCGTTTGGTAGACATTTGAAATAAGCTGGCCTGTGATGATTGTTTCGTTTGAGACGACATAGTCATCACTATAAGAAGTATTTTATACACATCCAGTTTAATCAAAGCTGATCTGCCTAACGACCAGTGTAGACAATAGTCTAGTATCGTTTTGTAGGTAAATCAAAGTATTAATCCTTGCTATTTTATACATGAATGAATCCAATTATTTCATTCGGACATACTCGTTACAATCCTATGTATCTAAAAAAAAGAGAAAATAATTGAATTGTAAAATACTTTGTGTATGTTTAGTAGCTGATGTTATGGTAGAATACAGAGTTGTGACCAAGAATAGTGTCTATCGCCACTTTCGCGTATACATGTAATATACTTTGGTTTATGTATATAATGGTCTCCCAAGATGAAAGATTATTAAATTATGATGTCCAAAGTACCTACCAATCGAGACAGTTACATTTGAAATTAGAAGTAAAAGTGTATTTGTTTTAATTTTATTTAAAATTATGTTAAAAAAATACCACAATATCTTTTTTACTAAAATATATCTATAAAATAGACTGAACACAGATTTGCCCAACCCAGTGGCAGTGCAATACCTTGATTGAATCCTCTAATAACTGCACTTCTATTATAAAAATATTGTTATATGTATATAATGATTTCCACATTGATACGAGCCAGTTGAAATTTGAAATATTTGGCCGCGTGCGGTTTCTACGGTAAATGAATATCTAGATATGTTTAGATTTAGTTTAGGCAGTACTAGTGTTATGTTGTTTTGTGTAATGTGTGCCTGAAGTGTGCAAGCTACTGAGTGCTTAGTTTGGTTGTCATCTACACATCGATATGCCTTCACTAGTTAGTTAAGTGACGCAGGCGCCCGGCGCGCCCGACGTATTCTGTCATTTGATTGTAGAGAATATTTGTATGGATACTTGAAAGAGTACCTAATGGCAGCCGGACAGCCTGCAGTGTAGCAGTTATTGTTGCGTCGTATAACACGGTTGCGCGTTGCAAATAATATAATCATTAACGTTAAAATGATTCATTCAAATCATTCCTACCATTAATCGATCCTAATCTATCGATGGTTCAATTACGTTTATTTTCATTCTTTCGTAATAAAAAAATTATTAACTTAAAATACACAAAGTTCATTGTTTATTATTAGCATTGTATTTATTCATGTATGATACTGTTTCCCTGAATTTTATTATTGTAAGATTATATTATATGAATAAATGAAATTGAATTTGATTTATGTATTCCTGTTTTCCTAAGTAGTAACAGTAAATTTTCTATTTTAAACCTAAAGGAACGACTCCCTATAATTGGAAGTTCCGTACGCATTTATAACCCATAGTAGGGGAGCCAAAAAAGGGATTTAGGGATTTACTCGAGTGTCTCAGATTAAAATAGGAGGCCTTACTACTACCTTACACCCAGTTGAGCCTGACCTCAACAATACATGAGCCCTACATTTAGGGGGGATCGTCTCGGTAAGACCCGTTATGGAGGATTGGCTCGAGAAGCGTCACGGGACCCTCATACCGACTGACGCAGGTGATCACTGGGAAAGGATGTTTCGGGGATCACCTGTGTCTGATCCGCAAGGAGCCAACGCCTGAGTGCCACCACTGCGATGGCCAGACCGTGGACACGGCTCTCCACACGCTGGCAGAGTGCCCGGCGTGGGTTCAGCAGAGGCGAGACCTCGTGGCGGCCATCGGAGTGGGAGTCCTCTCGCTCGATAGCCTGATTGCGGCTATCGTGCGGAGCGAGAGTGCGTGGAACTCTGCCGTCTCCTTCTGCGAGCAAGTTATGCTCGCGAAGGAGACGGCGGAGCGGGACCGGGAGAGGTTTAGGACTCTCCCGGCCCGCCAGGCCCGGGACCGGGCCAGGTACCGCAGGCGACTCAGCGCCGGAGGTCGCAGAACGACCTCCGTCCTCCACAAGCGCAGGCCTGGGGGTGACAGGTGAGGCCATCTGTCACCCTAGCAGAAGCAGGCCGGGGTGGCGGCGAGCGCGTTGCGAAGCGCGCTCGCTTCCAGGGAGCACAGGGAACATGGGGTTGCCACACGGGGGGGGGGGTCGTCTACTCATCTGTAAATGACCCGAGGTATGTCGGGGCACCAGGAACTTCCTTTCTAGGGTATACCTGGTTCCCCGGCTATTAGTACCCGAGACGGCGTGCGGTTTTAGTCGGTTCGAGTCCGACATGCCACCGACACACACCGACGGTGGTATCCGAGGGGATTTCCGCACAGAAAAAAAAAAGGGGGATCGTCTAGGGCAGCCCATCAGATTAGTTAAAAAAAAACTCAATCATGTATGATTAAGGTATGTTGAAGCAACTACAAACACATTGGTGTTTATTTAGACGATTTAAGCGTAACATGAGCAGTGGGAGGGTCACAAAGTTCCAATAAAAAGCCATGACCGTGACATTCTTTTTTATTTGAAGCAAACACTGCAAGAAATCTAATTGTCTACATAATTTTTCGTGCTTTTATTTGTCACATTTTATAAAAAAATCTAAAAATTAAAATATTTCTAACCGACAGATTGAAAATACTGTGTGTTTTTTTAGTCCTTTCGGATCCTGCACCTACACACTTCGGTGGGGTGACGCCCCAAAGAAGTTTCAACACGCACAAAGAAGGTAATAGTGCTTCTACACGATGCAAGTACCTTGTGCATGTTGAGGCACTTGAGGACCAATCGGATCCAGCGACTCGAACATGTACAAGATCGAGCCACCCGCGTAGGTAATTTGTACCCAGACATGGCAATTGTCATAGGTGATTAAGATTGTATTGCATTGCATCGCTAAGTTTATTACCTCTAGTAGAATAACATTTTTTACAAATCATTCCATAAAAATTCTCGTTCGTCGATGCATTTAAACGCGATTACTTGCTCCAGCTACTACACCGTGTACAAGCACCCTGGTACTGCACTGTTTCAAATCTGAAACTAGCAAGACCCATACATATAACCCGCGCGATCAGCATTTACGAGCAAGTAACTTGTGCATACTACTAACGCAAATAACCCGCAACATTCTTTAAAACATTTGCTCTAAACTTTTAGTAATAAAAAGTATTTTTCTGTCATCAAATATAAATGATTTTGTCTACCAGAGTCTACCTTGACCAAGAAAGTAAAAAAATGGTAGCTATATTTAATAAAATAATTACTAGATTTACTGTTAAATAGGCGAAATGGGATCTTTATTCATCGTCTGAAAACAGTTAAACCGGTTTGAAAAGTCAAGTCGTGACACCACTGGTGGTAACCCTAACCTACGTATGAAAAAATCGAATAAAAAATCGCCGGTCTTTCTCAGTTCACTGTGTTTTGGCCTATGCCTACTCTACACTCCATAAAATCAACAAACTATTCATTGCTTTTGCTTTACCATCTGGTAACCCTGTACATAGTTGTCATTGTCATAGTGTGTTGATATTTTGCAATTTTTCACCATGACATACAAGCGGAAAAAGTATCATACTGGTGACACTCATCTTAAAAAAAGGTGGAGAGTGAGAAATAGAAAGAAGGACCTCGATCAAATTGATGAGGATCTAAAAGAAGGTAAGATACTTTTATAAACAAAATATAAATACACACATGGTTTGAACTTTTTGTAGGTTATATCAATTGAATCCTTTAAAAAGCATAGCATTTTAATTTCGACCTGTGTAGTTTTAGTTAAGTAAATGGATTATTAACATCTAGTAAATAGAAGTAGCATTTATATGTATAGAGGCAAGATCTTTCCTGATACGTTTGTCTAATTTAATATCATTTTTTTAGGTAAATCTGAGAAGCTATTGAATCAAGATGTAGACTTAGATCTTCCTGGTGCAGCCCAACACTATTGTTTACATTGTGCGAGATATTTTGTCGACGAGCAAGCTCTAAACGAACATTTCAAAACAAAGGTTCATAAGCGAAGATTGAAGGCCCTAGAATTAGAACCGTATAGCATTGAAGAGTCTGAACGCGCGGCAGGTCACGGAAACTTCAAGCAGGCTGTCAAAAGGAAAATAGTTACACAAAACACTGAGAAACCAACAGATGAAGATGGTGATGCAGTTATAGACGAAGTTAGCCCAAGCAAGAAGAAAAAAATCACTGAAGATGATATGTAACACAGTTAAGAAAATATTGAGCAAGGTGTGGGACAGTAAAATCACATCAAGGAGAAACTCGGCTTTATTTGTAAATGGTGCGAAAGCCACTGAACATTTTATATATCTCACACCTCACATTGACTTTGCTGAAAGATTACAAAAAAGGGAGCAGTTACAGAAAGTATTACAGTTAAGAAAATCTAATATTGTTTTGGAGAATGTTGAAAGTCTTTGGCAAGTGTATGAGGATCTTAACACTAAAAAAGAAGAGTATTCTAAGAGGAAAGAAGAAATATCCAGAGAGTTAGGTAAGCTCATCAAAAATGATCCAGACAGTAACACCACAAAAAAGTTTAAAATTCAGAGTGATCTTATTAAAGACAATTTAAAAAAATTAAAAGCCCCCTTGTGGTCTGCTGAGGAAGCTGCTATAATTGAAGTTTTAAAATTACCAAACAATTTGCATAACCGAACACCAAATGAAGAAAAGAAAATAATACACACTTACTTACATAGACCAGACAATAACAAAGACCATCTCAAAATAGGAAGAGAACTAAATCTTATTGAATTAAAAAAAAATGAGAATTACTACCTGAAGGGCAATGCTGCTATTTTTGAACTGGGTGCAAAATTTTATTTCAGTAAAGTATTGAGAGAAAATAAGTTTGTGCAGTTTTCAAATCCTGATTTCGTCAAAAGTTTGATAGTAGAAGGTTGTGGGCAAGACCACACCAGCGCAGACAACACTTTCATCTTGCACCATGATGAAGATTCTAAAGTGAATGTTGACAGCCGAATGCATTTAACCGGAGGAGGGTCACTTTGTTCTTTTTTAGCGTATCATGCCAAAAATATTCTTTATCCAAAAGTTCTGCCATTTAAGTATTTTACAATGGGCAGACAGTATGTACCAGCACCTTCAGAAGAAGACAGTCTATTCCACGTTAGTCAATCCTCAGTTATAGAAATGTTTGGTGCAGCCAAAAGCGCTGAAGACCTTGATCAAATGCTTGATAGTTTGGTAGAATTATTGAAAAATACATACAGTAAACTTGGATATCATTTTCGGTTGAGTTTAATTCCTGCTGATAAACTATTCATGTGGGAATCACATAGGGTAGTTGCAGAAATGTATTCTACATCTTTGAAAGATTACATTGAAGTTGCTAATGTGTCTCTAAGTGGAGACTTTATAAGCAAAAGACTTATGTTAACATATGTCGAGAACAAACAAAATAAGTTTCCCCATATAATATCTGGTACACTGTTGAATGTGCCCAAATTTTTAGGGTGTGTTTTAGAGCATGATGCTGATTTTTCTGTACCCAAACTATTTAAAGTCGAAAATTGGACTTTGTAAAGATGAATATAATTGATATTTACTGTGTTAAATAAATTAAAAATACGATTATATTCAATATTGTGGTATTTATTTTTTTGTACATTTACAACTGTTTACATTTATTTCAAAGTTGAACTCAGATCTATCCCATGTTGGACTTGCTGGATCAATAGGCATTCGTTGTGTAATCTCAGTTATGCTTAGATGCCCTGTCTTCTTAAGCAGCACTATTGTATGTGTCCTAAAAATTATAATTTGTTAGTTCAGGAATTAATTACATCTACATGGTTGCAAATCTTAGTTCTATATAAATAATGCATAATCCACATTGTTACCTACAAAATGTGGTTGATTAATGTTTTTTTATTTTCGGTTAATTGTGTAGTTAAATACATGTCAGTAATATGAAGTGTATCGATAAATATGCAATAACTCCACATCTGTTAAGGTCAACACACATCTGTTAGGTACATTGTCAGTCAGACATTTGAGGGCCTAGTGTGAGTTTATTTCACATCTACTCGATCGTCACGGTGACCGAGTTCGGGGCTCTAATTGAAATCTTCACCAATCGTAACGCCGAACGCGCTCGCTGTCGAGAGTGAATGGTGTGTAATATACCAGCACATGGCCCTCAGTATAAAGTAAGACTAAATCCCAGGTTTACCATATTCACCTCGGATTAGGTTAATACCATTCCATAACATATAAAACTAACCTTGTACCGTATCTTCCTTTTGGTATACAAACATAAATCGAACTTAGTTCTTCATATATATTAGGTCTCTTAGCCTCCAGCTGCTGGTCGGGCAAATGTCTACAAAATCGGTTAGCTGTTAACATACATGTTGATATAAATAAATGTTTATAGAGGCGGTTTAAGTATCAAGAGCCCTCCTCCCCCTTCCTGCCTCTAGCGCTCATACTATGTTATTAGTAGCTACTAGTTGACGTTACTATTTAGTAACGTCAACTAATAGCTACTAGTAGCATTAAAGCTAACTAGTAGCATTTAAATTTGCAATCATCACTATCACACATTTATGTGATAGTAATGATTGCAAATTTTAGTTGCCATATCTTTACTAGAACTTTTATTTTTTTACGTGAGGGAACCCCTATGGGTTGTCACCCCACCGAGGTTTGCGGTGGACAGTGTAACGGAATCGAAAAGACTAAAACCATACACTGCGCCTGCAATAGGAAGGTTCCGATAACAGCTTATATTAAGACATCCAGGCCTTTCTTTTTTTTTTTTGGTGACAGTTGGCCTCACCTGTCACCCCCAGGCCTGCACTTATGCAGGATGGTCCATTCCTGGGCCTGGCAGACTGGGAGAGTTCTAAGCCTATTCGGGTCCAGATCCACCCTCTCCTTCTCGAGCATGACTTGCTCGCAAAAGTAGGTAGTAGTGAATCCTCATTCCGATGGCCATCCCGGTGCCACGCCTCTGCTCCACTCAAGCCACGCCGAGCATTATACTATTATAGCAGCGTCTGGTGGCACCCAGGCGTTGGTTCCTTGCGAAGCAGACACAGATAATCTCTTGCGTCAGCCGGTATGAGAGGTTCCCGTGTTTCCTCTCGATCCAATCCTCCATAACGAGTCTTACTGCCGCTATAATGGCGTGCCTGGCACTTGGATGCCCAAGTCTTTCCCTCCGCCCGGGAAAGTTTTGATTTCTGGCCTGAAACTAGATCCCTCAGGTGGCCCCTTCCGAGACTCATGAAAGAACAAGGCCTCAGATTTGTGCAGAGACACCTCTGAGTCCCAGCCGCCCGATCGTCACTGTGCGCCTTACCGCACGCCGTCACAAACGCCTGCCCTTTAAAAGCGCGGGCACCACTTTCGGGGATAAACTTTCATTTAGAAGACGTCACCTCCGGTAGGGCTTCGTGGCGAGTGGAGTGTGTAACGGCGGGTAACGAGAAATCCGCTCTGATGACTGCAACGAGCGCCCAACGTTACTCGGATCAGTGTGTGCAGAGACGAGTTCAAACTGCATTGCAGTGGTGACAGGAGCAAAACAAGCCAATGTATACTGTTAGAAGCAGATCGACAAGGGAAAGCGACAATGTTTAACCGAATAGAACCGCTGTACTGTTCCTGCAATAACCACTTGTGTAAGATGCGTTTCAAGAAGGTACTTAATGCCTGAAAAATGCAACGTGGTTCAAACGTTAAAGAATTTTAACGTCATATATTATAGTAATAATACCCATTGATCGCGTTAATAGGGATAAATAATTACAAAAGTTAAGCTTTGAAATAATAATAATTTCACATATCTCACACACGGCAGTCTGGTCCTAAATTAGGCAGAGCCTGTGCTATGGTAACCAGACTTTTTTATTACCAAATCTTATGTAACTTCAACTTGTGTTCTTCTAATTCAAAGTACGGCACGCTTACCTTTGGTCTGATTTCAATAGCTGCAGTAAATTTTCTATTAGTTCTTTTTCCATGCTTTCTTTATTGAATTTACTGCAGATATGCTCCAACTGGGACCTACCAACTTCGACTTTTTTCAATGGTGTCTCTGGCAAGTTATTACCAAAGCCATTGTAAGCCGTTTTATGTGTAAGTAGTTGATCGTTGGCATTGCTGTATGAAAATATGGAGGGAGTGACGTTACTGAAAAATTATAGAGTAATATGTAAATATGCAGCTGCAATTATATTTTAATATAAGCGTATATTGCCATTACAATAAGCGTAACTGGTTATTTGTAGATAAATAAACTTAAACCGGAGGGGGATAAGGCCCGCGCACTCCGCAATGAGGTCGTGGCTGTGGCCGTCTACAACTGAAAAGGGGTTTAGTTACACCCCAATGTCAAGTTGTAGATAGCGCCAGTAGGTCAATCAATGAAATAAAGATGCACAGAACTCTAAAAATCGTTATTGTTACCAATAAAATGTTCAATAAGTGATTGTGTATCTATTTGTTATAGAGTAAACACAAGCCAAATATAACTACCTAACTCTTACTTTACCGAACCAAAAATGTGTATACAGGGTGTTCGGCGGAACGTTGAACATGCGATAATGGGGGATAGCTAGGGTCACCTGCTACCAACACAGCACTAAATATTTGATCTAAGCTTTTATTTGTTTTTTTTTTTAATTTCGTTATTTTGTCACTTTATACCTTTAATCTCCCATTACTTTTTGATTCACATATCTGGATAATTCTTTTTACTACAATCTTAATGGATGATAGGATCTTTTAAAATTAAAATTTGATGCAGATTAATGCTTATGCAATGCATTTGCAGGAAGTAATAAAAAAAATGTTTCAAGTAATTATTTTTTGCACATTTTAATTACTACATTGTAAATGATGTTTTAAGAATACCAAACTTAAATTGATCGTTTCTTTATTATCACCTGTACATTGATAAATTCCGCAAAACATTTAACTTTCCTCGTACGTACAATTTCGTCGAAGTGATCCGGCTAAGTAAAAAAACAACTAATAGATAACTCTAGTTATGAAAAAATATTAAAGCAAACTACATACCGTTAGAAAGATTATACTCTGTCATGATCATACGCTAGAGACGAAATTTACTTTAAAAAATCAGAAGTCTTCATTCACTTTTTTTTTATGTAACGCGGAGCTGACCTTTAAAAGTTTTTTTATACTCTTTGTTTACGTTTAAGGGTCATAACCGTCTAACAATAACCTGCAACAATATTAACATTCTAATAAATAAAGCTTTAAAACCGCTATATTTGTTTTTATAGAGGTTTAAAGGTATGAAATTATGAAAATCTAAAAATTAAACTACCTAATCAAACCGTGGGGATTGGTCTAATCTTTGGTGTTGTGTGTGTAGGTAGCCGACGACCCCCACCTACCCCCGATTTTCGTATGTTCAACGTTCTGCCGAACTGCCTGTAAATCTTTTTAACCGGCTTAAAAAAAGGTGAATCTCATCTATGAACCTCTGTTATTTCAAGGACAATTATTTAAGCCTTTCACATAAATTAAGTTTGAAATACCTACCCCTTGGTTGGGTGTTTTTGTCGGACTCGAACCGACTAAAAACTGCACGCCGTCTCGGCCATTAGCCGGGAAACCAGGTGTACCCAAGAAAGAATATCCTTGGTAGATGACCCCCTTCTGTGTGAGAATCCCTTGAAATAACTACCCTAATTTAAAATTATAGGTGCTAATTTCTAAGCCATTACCTTGGTAAGAAACAATTTCAGTCTTCTATTGTGAAGACATGCAGAATAACGGTAGTACCCAAAGTAGTTAACGGTAGTAAACAAAGCTCTTGCATTTAAATAAAAACAAGAATTTAATTAGAATAACTTACTTGAACTCAATTGCAACTAGAACAAATTCATTACAATTCTTGATATAATTTTTTGTATTTTCTATATATTCTTGTACTGAATCTTTACTCTTAACATAATCAACAACAATTTTGCCTCTGGCTAAAAAAAAAGAAACATTAAGTCTAAGTGTATTTTTTTTTCAAGCGTCTTGTTGTTGTTTTTTCTTACTTTTGGCATTTTCTTTAGAGGCTCCTGGCAAATTAAGTAACACTCCTATTTTTTTATATGTGGGAGATGCTGCGAGCCACGTTCCACCATCGTGGATCTCCAAGTCCCGACCTGAGAATGAAAAATCTTTTTGCATTTTGAATAGCAAAAATGTTTAAATAGAATTAAGCTTAGTGATACATAAAGAAAACAGTGATGCATCGATCAAGCCCCGCCCGCACCTTAACCAATCAGGTTCCAAGCTTTCGTACGAAACGATGGTTTCTTGGAACCTGATTGGTGAGGAGATGGGCCTTGATCGATGCGTCACTATTTTCTTAACGCGAATGGACTATAGTACACGGGTCACTTGATGGCAAGAGTATACAGCCGCTCATGGATACCTCAACTAGTGACAAATACGTACGCCGACCTTTTAATGGCCTTCCTCCAGAATGAGGGGAGGGCGATTTAGGCTCCGGATACAGCACTCACTCGTTGAAAAGCAAGGAAAAAATAGCTTAACAGCGGTTTTCTGTAGGGTATCGCGAAGGCCTAAGCATGGCTCTCCCACGGCAGTCGACTTTCAAACCGCTGCGGTGAATAATGAAGATTAATGAAAATAAGATTTGCAACCTCCAACAATGACTGGATCTTCGCTCCAAATCGTCATGTTCTGTGTAGGTCGGTCATAGTATTCATCTCTATTTGATATTAATATCAGGCTGTAATCGCTTTGGGGGTCACCTGACCCATTGTATATGAATAAAATACACATTTTTTTATTTGAGTATCTGAAACAAATTGGTTTTGTTTTAGAAGAATGAACAAATAAAGAAGTACATACCAGCCCACATTTTCAAATATGTGAATTATGGAGAATATGAAATCTAAAAGACATTAGGTCTACAGGTTTATTGAATGGTTAGCATGAGTTTATTGCCTAATGCCTGATGTGTTTTATTTAAAGGTTACATCCTTTCAATGAAACTTTATTGCATTGAGAGGTATTATCATGAAATTTGCATTTATGACTGCACTTAAATGTGTGTCTAGTTGCCCCAAAATTTTTAACTGCAAGTTGCATGACTACAACTTGCAATTAAAAATAGATTTTTTTCTTCTCATAGACTTATGACTTCAATTGGCATTGTCCGGTCATAATTTTACAAAATTTTGGTATATTTTTTATAGAAACAATGTCTCTGTTATATAGACCACTGATAAAAAACTTCATTCTGTGAGATAGGGTTGGGGGTCATCATCTCAAAGGATCATCTCTCATAACTCAACTCTTTGATTTCTTTCATTGTACGAGTTTTGTTTATTAATAAATATATCTCACACTTATCCAGGGTGTCTAATAATCAATTTCCTATGGTTTTGTTTGTTTGATTTTGGATTGGTGACCTTTGGAGGTCAAAATTTGCATACTGAAGGTCATTTCCAATTGTAATGGGAGTCAGGAGTAATGTGGTGTTTCCACTAAAAACCACCTCACCCGCTGGCCTCAGGCGCCAACACTGGGAGGGCCTAGATCATATGATTTCTGGCCTACCCCCGAATTGAAGCCACACCTAACTAGGCTGCAATATAAATAGTTATTATAAACCCTAGTCTCAAGAAGATATACAAGAAGACTGCTGAGAAAAGCTGGTGTTTTTATCTATAAGACTGTTGTAAATGAAAAAAATTCACTACTTAGGTGCTGATGCTGACATCTCTCTCTAAATATTTTCATTTATTTGGCAGTTTTTCGGTAACTAGTTCTTACAGAAGAACTCAATAAAAACACCAAATATATAAAAATGGTTATCAAGAAAGTTTATTATTATTTTTTATATGGATGTGAACTGCTATGTGCATCATAATTATGTTTTATACAATATATGGTCATCATTTAACTATCATTTACACAATCAATAATCTTTAATTAGCAAATGAATAATGTAGAAACAGGAAAGATATTATTAATCATCAATTAAGTAATTTTAAGACAGAAATCTAAGCAAATAGACAAATATTGATCTGCCCTTGAAGAGTTTTGGTGTAATAGGTTTATAAACTTTAAATATTATGAATTAAAAATAAATATTAAGTTTTAATATACACTAAATGGGGTACCTATATGTGTGGGCAGGGTGTGGTGTTGTTCCAGTATAAATAGAAGACCACCTGATCAAGATATGCTATCTTATCAAAGTTAGAATGATTTGTATTTTTTTATTCGTTGTTGTAAGTAATTACTTAAAGCTTTTATATACAGCTGCATTGACCATACGTCTTATAAATACCACAATGCACGGTGCGTAATAGATTTTATAAGATTTAATTTAATAAAAAACTAGGTGCTGTGCTTGAACTGTCTTTTTTAGACGTATTTGACTTTGATTCAAAAATTCTTGTTTGATTGTCAGATCACCTGGATCAGCTGATTTTGACATTTCTTAATAAAAAGTACGGAGTTTTGAGGTAAGGGAGAACCATCTCTGTGAATGTAAAGTGTCCATCAAATGTCCATCTAGTCGGTTTTAGGACTATTTTATGCTGCGTTTTGAAGTAAAACTTCTTTATGCACGCTTGACTTCGGGACTAAGCTGGTGAATGCGTGACGAGGGCGTTAGGAAAAGTGTGATCGGGCGAGGCGAACGGAATTTGAGAGGGAGATATAAGTTAGTGAAGATAGAGAGAGAGAGTTACGTTTCGTTAATTACTGTAGGGGCAAGAGAGAGAGGTACGAGCACACATATTCTTTCTCTCATAGCCAAGAAGTTTTATCTCAGTTGAGTGGTCTAAAGCACACTCGTTTTTTCTTTGGTGGACTGGACACTTTTTTTGGCTTTGAATTCCATACAAGATAGTAGTCCTTAACTGTAAAATACCCCTTGGTTGGTCCTTGCCAAAGTATGACACGTATAAAAATTAGATCATTTTGTTTTCATCATCAACAGCTTTTAGTAGTCCACAGCTCGACATAGGCCTCTCCTTAGAAACGAGGTTTTGGCCTATTATACCACGTGGGCCAGACGGGTTCATATAGGGTTTGTGTCAAGTTTTCCTTCTCTTTTTGCAGTTCTGTAGTCCTGTATAGTTTGCTCCCTTAGTCGGCTTTCTAAGGATAGAAAGGATCATTATCTTAGATCATTTATTGATAGAGAAAAGATCAGGTGGCAGTCACAACGAAACAGCTTGTAAAGAAATAATAGGGCAATCTGCCAAACTATATTACTAAATTATATAGGTTAGGTTAATAGTGTAGGAAAATGTTTTAATTTTCAGGAAATAATTCTGATTTTGATGGTTTTACACAACACAATTTTAAAGATAGAATTCAACTCGTGTAAAGTACAATCCGGGTGTTAACAACTAATAAATAAAACCAAAACAGATATTTTTAATTTATTATTTTACCCTTAAATAAAATAAAAGTATATTTTAAATTAACGGTCTTTTAAAAAAGGAGATTAATTTTCGGTTTAAAAACGTATGTTATTGATTTTACTAAAATGTTGGATGTGAGTAGCTTCTAGTCATATACTACACTATTCTTAAATGTCAACACTGGCGCCATGACATATGACACATATACTATGACAGAACCCATCTATTTAACCAGTTTCTACTTTCTTGATTTTTCATAACTTTTAGAATATGTTATATTGTATTTTACAAAATGGATTCTAATTTACCGTTTTTTAGTTTGCCTGTAAGTATATTTCAATTAGATACTAGAGAAGTCGTTCGTTAATATATTCTGTTTGTTCTGCCACAATGTTGTGTGATATAAATGTATATATTTTCTATTAATAGAGTGGTATTTTATAAACAATATTAGATATCTTCAAACAAGTTTAGCAGTATCGTATAATCAATACCATGCTTTCTAACATTTAAACTTTCATTCCTATTTATTTGCCTTGTAATTGCTTTGTTGTTATAACTAGGTACCATATCTATAAATAGATACAATTTATATTTTATTTTTACAGTTTGTGGATTCTGAAACAACCGATTTAGAATTTAATAAGTTAAAGCCTCAGGAGTCAGTGTATGATGTTCTGAACCCAGGTTTGTCAACCCATAGTGCCCTACTTGGGACAGATGATGTCCTAGCTCAGTTTCTGTCTGGTGATGAGCCACTAGAAGAGCCAGACCTAAACGGGCCCACTACATTGCACTGTGAAATATGTAGAAAGCAATTTGATAATGCCAAGAAGTATTATGGACATTTGAGAGTACATTCTAAAGATAATCTTTGGATCTGTGGTGAGTTTTTTTTTACATTTCAGTCATAATTTTTTCACCACAGTGAAATTTTGTTAATCTTTTATTGTATGACTACCTGCTCCCAGCAATTTTAACTGTGTGGATTATTCAAATTCAATCAATGATCATTATTCATATCTGATTAATAGTTCCAGAGATTTGTTGGTTTAGACAAACAATTAATTTACATATTATATTATGTTTTGTGATCGTGTATCAAAACATAAGTTTTCTGTTTTTAAATATTTATTAATAAGCATATCAATCTTTATACCTATCTATCTGTCGAAATTGTTAGGTTAGCTACAATTTTGGTAATGGATATTATAAAATATAATATTAACAACACAAAAATAGGATAAAATGTAGCTTTAAGTTCTAAAAAAAATTGCATTAGGTAAAATATCGGCAATTTTTAGATAAAATCTCAAAAGTCCAATATCTTGAAAGTTATGTTTCAGATATGGTATTATTTCATAGTGAAATCTATTAGAAATAATGGCTACTACAACCCCCAAAAGTGTCAAGGTTGGCTTAACCAATAGCCCTGTATATTTGTACATTACAGATAAATGTCCAGACCAAAAATTTTCCACGAAGCAACTGTTAATGAAACACAGTTTGACCCACAAGCCCTTGGAGTTAATCTGGAAATGTCCACACTGCACCATGGCTTTTGAAGCTCTGTGGAAATTGCAGCAGCATTTGTTTCATAAACATTTAGACTACAGGTGACAATTATTTTGCTCACTTAACATTGAATGTAATGACGGACACTGTGTGTGACCGACACCATACTTTCCCTACAGACTTCACTAATAAATAAAGAACATTGCAGAAAATGACTTGATAATAATGGATGACTCATGGAAACTGCTTTCTGAGCTGTCAAATAATGGACACCAGTGTCTGTTGTGGCTTACAGAATCCTAAGTCGTTTGGATTTTTTTTGTGCCAAGTGGCCCGGCTGTACAGTTTTTGAGTCACTTGCCTTGGTAACAGAGTTAAAATGCTGTCCAGCCGTCGCCTAGAGGAAGTAATCCAGGCATGGGGGCACATGGTCTAAAACGTGGCCCCCTGAACCCCACATGTTGGTGGTCACTAGGTGTCTGCCCAATGGGATAAACATAGTTTTTAGTAGGGTGTTCAACATGTTAATATAAAAGTATGTTTTTGATGTAAAGAACATTTGAATTTACAGGCCTTATAAATGTGATGAGTGTGAGAAAGCCTTCTACAAGCCTTCAGACCTCAAGAAGCACAAAGATCAACATAGTGGTGAGGTTCCTTTTTTAATATAATTTATCTTACCCCACAGCACTGTGAAAGTAATGTTGTTGGACTCCAAAATTCAATTATGATTGTCTTAGTACAGTAAAAACTAAATAGTAATTAATTACTAAAACTAAAATGCAATGAGCATTTTAGTCTGTTAATGGGTTGGAGCTCATTTGTGTATTTGTATGGGTTTACTTTACATACTATGCAATTTCTTTAAGCTACTAAAATAGATTTAGAGGCTAGACCTACCAGCATTTGTCTTTAAATATTTTTTTTATAAAAGACAACTCCCGCACTAGGAATGTATCTTGTGTAGCGGGGGACTTTACAAACGTTAATGAAATTTAAACAAAGGACACCCAGACTCAGAACACAAAGTGTTGTCTCATGTGGGGTTCAAACCATCAACACTTAGTGCAGTAGGAAGCGGCGAGGTGACAGCTTAAACCACATAAAACAATAATAACTAAACTAGATCTGTCTAGTTTAGTTATTATTGTTTTCTACTATCAGAACCTATTCTACTATAAGCACATTTCTGACAAACATATATTTCTAAGTCATATATGTTATAGATAAATTATACTAACATATAGAACGCAATTGTTTGTCCTGTATGGGAATAGAACCTACAATTTATGGCTTAGCAGTTAGGGTCACTAACCACTAGTCCAACAAGCTCGTCAAGAATGATGTTTCTTTGAATAAATAGCATTCTATTTACTCGGCAAGTGAACTTGGTGATTTTTGTGTATGAATAAAGGTTTGCTAAAATTATGTTCAATTAGTACTGTTATATGTTTGGGTTCGTTGATTTGGGATAATACACCTTGACTTGACTGAGAGACTTTATTACTAACACACTTAAGAACATTCAGACAAACGATTGCCGAGGTCTCTGGGTTAAACTTCTATTCGCTTAGATCACTTCGATATTTATCGCACTGTATTAGACTATTTTCGATCTTATGCTTATTAATATAGAATTCATTGTTCCGTGCCAACTTGCATTATTATTAGACCTATTTCTCTCTTATTATTTCTATATATCTATATTCTCTATTTCTTTCTCGAATTTTTGGTAACAGTACTATTGAACATAGTACATTAATCTTATGTGTTTATCTGTGAAATAAATTACCGCCTGTGGTACTTTTGGACCTATACGATTTTCAAACATTTAAGAAAATAGTGTACTCATACCTCAAAGGCTGGCAACGCGCTTGTGACTGCTGAGTTGCAGGCGTTCATCAGTGGCGGTGATCACTTTCCATCAGGTGGCCCGTCTGCTCGTTTGCCCACCACATCATAATAAAAGGTCCACTTATTCTTAGGTTTTCCAAGCTTAGGTTTTTTGTTTCGTTTTTAAGGCATACATATTTATATTAGAAAGGACTTAAATTTTGTAAATGTAACCTAAGCAGTGTGTCAAAAGATAAAACTTTGCAATGTTTTTAGATGTAAAAAAATATGCATGCAGTGTCTGTGAGATGCGTTTCAAAGACAAGTCAAACATGCGACGGCACATGCTGATTCACAACAACGAGAAGCCTTTCTGCTGTCCTGGTTGCAGGAACAGATTCAAACAGGTGTGTAGTTTATTTTACTTTAACAAATTTGAAATATATTAAAAAGGAGTATTATAATTGAAGTAAGTATTTAAATTATTATGATTAAATGTATATGACGGTTGTCTATGTATATTTTTATTTATTACCAAACCAGATTTTAGAAATTTAATTATTGTTTATTTGGCATTTAATTGTAAAAAAAATTTGAAACATTATTGATCGCTCTAAATGTTTTTTAAAGTAGTGCAAAATTGTAAAAATATGGTGATTATTATAGTTAAGTGAAGAGGTTTTTATTAAATTATATACTTTTTTATAATATGGACAACACTTCAATTTTTTATCGGGATATAATAAAGCGTATTTTTTCAGTTAGCATCGATGAAGCGCCACGCCCAAAAGTGTCCTCTCAACAAGTTCCAGAGCGAGCCCATAGATAAAACCATTAGAAGACACCATTGCCGTGTCTGCGGTGTGAGCTTTCAGTACAAGAGTGCTTTGTTGGAACATTGTGTTAGGTCAGTTTTATATTATTTGTTTGCCTATTACGTTCTAATATATGTTAGCCATTAAAGAATGCACTGGTGGCGGATGGCGTAGTGTTTTAAGTGGGTCGCCACGCCGTTTACTACTACGCTGAGTGTTGTGGGTCCGATTCCCACATGGGACGACACTTTGTGTGGTCCACAAATTGTTGTTCTGAGTGTGGGTATTCTTTGTGTCCGTTTCATGTATCTTTGTGAAGTCCCCCGGACATATTACTAATGCGGGAGTTGTCTTTTTATTTTGTTGTCACTTTATATTTTAAATGGTTTAAGACTGTGTAGTCTTTGTAGGAGCTACCTTTGACTCTGTAAATGTGATTCATGATAATTTGTAATGAAACACTTCTGTATTTTTTTTTAGTTTAATATTAATTAATAATAGATAAAATAAATATACAGATGCTAACACTAACACTGCCACATACACTAGCTGCCATCACTAAAATAATAAACACATCCATACACACACAGGAATACCCAAGGCTATGGAAATGCTCCATAGTGAGGTCTTTACCCAAAGTTTCCCCCCAAATACTAATAAGGACCTATGTCCGGTTAGTATACTTTCATACATGTCTAAGGTGCTGGAAAAAGTAGAATATTTACAAGTCATGGAATACCTTAAAAATAATAATATTCTCCCTGCCAAACAATCAGGCTTCAGAAAAGGAAGGGGAACTGCTACAGCTTTAAGTGATGTAATTGGTAACATACTGAAAGCTATGGACCAGGGGGAAGAAACAGCGTTAGTGCTATTGGACTATTCAGGCGCTTTTGATGCCCTAGATATGTCACTATTATTATACAAGTTTTCCAAATGGGTATTCATCAGATGCAATTAAATGGTTTCACAGCTACCTCTCAGATAGGTCACAATATGTAGAAATACGTAGAGAAGATGGCACGGTTATGTCATCAACCCCACTAAATGTGACCCGGGGAGTACCGCAGGGGTCAATATTGGGACCGCTACTATTCATTTTGTACACTGCAGCTATCACCACATCTTTTCTACACTGCAAGTTCCACATGTATGCATATGACACACAAGTATCTGTCTTTCAACCCCAGTGACACTCTCTCAGCAATGGCATTACTGATGACTTGGAAAGAGTAGTTAAGTGGTCTAGGGAACACTCACTGATATTAAAACCAATCAAATCAAATTATCATTCAATCATTTTGGAATATGCGCCCATAATCGGTTTAAACGGCCAAAGAATGGAAAGGGTTGAGGAAGTCACTAATTTGGGTTTGGGGATCCAGAGCTACGGTTTGAGGGACACATAAACAAAATTGTAAAGAATTGTTTCTACAGGTTAAGGGTTCTCTACAGCATACGTGACTATCTCAGCACAAAGCGGAGAAAACAACTTGTAGACAGTCTCATACTATCCAGATTCAACTACTGTGATATAGTTTATGGTCCATGTTGGCTGGCTAGAACTAGGAACCTAATACAAAGAATGCAAAATGCATGTGCTCGTTATTGCTTTTAAATACCACAGAGAGATCATGTAACGCCATCATTTAACTTGTTAAAACGATTGTTGCATTTTACTTTTCCAATCAATACTTTATTCTGTTATGCTTACAGACAACATAGCAACAACGCCGCAGAGACCTATAAAGAAGATAAATACCAAAACAGTGATGCGAATCGCATTGTCGACAACATCGTAGACGATATACTGTCCGCTGAAGATGACTACATGACAATGTCCACACAAAATGAAATACTTCACAACGTTTACAACCAAAACGAAATAGACAACAACGCTGACAATCTTATGCAAATCGAGTTGCTCAAAGAAATGAACACCTTCCAAATATTAGATGAAGAATTATTTTATAACGATATAGATTTCGACAGTATACCACCAAGCCACATCTTTAACACTAATACCAACGACATGGATTACACTCAAGACAAGAACGGAGAGATCCTCTTTGATTTTACTGACGGCAAAAGTATCGATCAAGATATTATGAACGCGTTCTGCCATGTAAAAGCAGATTTGCCTGACGAACTGCTCAATCCAGATGTACTTATACCTAAGAATAGCGAATTAGAAAACCCTGTGTCGGTTAACGAATGCGCCACGATATTTGAAAGTGATGTTGACTTGGAAGCCAGTACTAACTTAGCAGCTAATTTGAATCAGTTGATTGGAGAAAATCGTGTACAATACATATCTACGGAACATGATGACACATTTATTATCAGTTTGAATAGTGAAATTGACGCTGAAAAGTTAACGGATATGTTAAATATTGGCGTGGAACTAGTAAACAATAAAGAAGATGAAAGTGCGCTTCCCGTAGTTCACGACGTAGTTAAAAAAGAACAATTAGATGAGCCTGTAGTATTGAAATTTGAGAAGCCCGAAGGACCGCTTATAGTGAAAATTGAGCAATCAGAAAACAACGTTCAGCCAAAAGCTGTAAATGTAGACGAAAAAGAGATAAAGGTGAAAGTAAAGAACAGATTAAAGATATTTGTTTGTAGGACATGTAATAAAGTCTTCAATAAGAAAGATAATTACAACTCTCATAGAGGTAAGTTTCTAGACGTTTATTTTATTTGTGTATTTTTGTGTTGTTGTTGTTTGCTGTTGCTCTATTTATGTATCGTATCGTTATCAGTCTCTCTAATTCAAACGAATGTATCTATGGAATGACGCGCTATTCCTACAATTTTATAGAGTTGAGAAAACTTTGAAGTGTATTTTATATTTCTTTTTTTAAATGAGACAATAGCATTTTATCATTTTAATATATAAATGTGTTGGTACCTGTGACAGGCAGGTCCGACATATAGTAAGTGTTAGTAACCGCCACGTTGTGTTGTAGCGCTGCACGAGCCTTCGCTCCGCGCGCACGCGTGCGGCGTGTGCGGCGAGCGCTTCGGCTACCGCTCCACGCTCAACAAGCACCGCCGCCTGCACACGCCCGTAGTGCTGCCCGCGCACCAGTGCCACCTCTGTCACAACACCTACTCTGCGCACTGGCTGGTGAGTACCGCTCCACGCTCAACAAGCACCGCCGCCTGCACACGCCCGTAGTGCTGCCCGCGCACCAGTGCCACCTCTGTCACAACACCTACTCTGCGCACTGGCTGGTGAGTACCGCTCCACGCTCAACAAGCACCGCCGCCTGCACACGCCCGTAGTGCTGCCCGCGCACCAGTGCCACCTCTGTCACAACACCTACTCTGCGCACTGGCTGGTGAGTACCGCTCCACGCTCAACAAGCACCGCCGCCTGCACACGCCCGTAGTGCTGCCCGCGCACCAGTGCCACCTCTGTCACAACACCTACTCTGCGCACTGGCTGGTGAGTACCGCTCCACGCTCAACAAGCACCGCCGCCTGCACACGCCCGTAGTGCTGCCCGCGCACCAGTGCCACCTCTGTCACAACACCTACTCTGCGCACTGGCTGGTGAGTACCGCTCCACGCTCAACAAGCACCGCCGCCTGCACACGCCCGTAGTGCTGCCCGCGCACCAGTGCCACCTCTGTCACAACACCTACTCTGCGCACTGGCTGGTGAGCCTGTGGAAAGAATTGCCACTTGCGGTACTTCCACACTTGATGAGTGCCTTCAAACCTTCAAGAAAATACCACACTTTCACCTCAAAAGCCAGAAACGCAGGTGACCCGAAGGTTACCAGTAGCACACACTTTGTTAAGAGGTACGTCAGTCGTATCGTCATCTCCACATTACACATAATGTGTACAATTTTGTGATGGTATTGCAAAAGCTCGTTCAAAGCGCCGACGTGTATGAAAGGTTTCATGAATGTGGAAGTAGCGCAAGGTATGTTGGGAGCGTGACATATGGCGTTATAACGTCTCATTCAGCCTTTGACGGGACCGAAGCGTGAGTGTATGTTTGTATAAAAAAAATCTATACTAAAAATAAACTAAAAACTTTAAAGTCAAAGTAATTTTAGAACTTTGAGCGCTAACGTCAAATGATGTGTTTGTTATAGTTAAAGACGCATCTGTCTCGCGATCACGAGGGTCTGACCCCGCACGTGTGTGACCACGCCGGCTGTGGGAAGAAATTCTACAAGAAGAGCGACCTTGTTGTACACAAAAGGTATTATGTTAAAAATACTGAACACTAATTTGCAATGCGATTATGCACCCAGAACCTTGTGTATAAATACTATTATACTATAATATAACTGTTGGGTTACTTACAATTTATTTTATCCTTTTCAACATGATTTACAAAGTATTTACAGTGTTTTTATATGATTATTGACTGTTCGATTCTATTTTTTGTTATTTTTGAAGTGAAGATTATGACGTAACAACTGCATATATATTAAAAAGACACACAATAAATAGCGAGAAAATTCAACCTTACAATTAATTTAAAAAAAGTTATTTATATTTATAATAAGCCGAATTCCGTATCCCCTAACTCCCCTCCCACGTCCCTTGAATACTGGAATAGTTTTAATATAATAATAGGGAATGTGCATGTATTTTTTTATTTTTTTAAACGATTCTACTAGTTATTACATTACCAAAAATAAATATAACACATCCGAAATATAAACCGTTAAGCAAACTTATTACCATGGAAAAGCCAATAAAAACTTATTATAAATATTGTGCCGTTCCTTTGTGCCCAAATAATATCAAAACTGCATCTGACAAAGTATATTCAGTCATTGCGTTGAGTCTTTCTACACGGGAATTTAATAATTTAACACTGAAAACGTATTAGTTATTAACTTAAAATGAAACAAATAATCACCAGAAACCAAATATTACAAATACACACAACTTGTTGACACTTTTGACAGTGTAGGTTGTCGTCACGTTTTATTCAACCAATAGCGTTGCGTTTTAGAAATTTGCGAGGGAATCTTAAAAAAGCCATTTTTTTAATGTTTAAATTTAAATTTTAAAAATAATCGTAAGGGTATCTTTTTTTAGCAATAAAAATTACAAATAAAAATATTTCGTCCATTTTGGTGTCACGTGCATATTCCCTATTGAAATTGGAAAAATCTCGGTTATTATATTGAAATCTGTTCACAAACGATCTATGTCGTTTATCGCTTAGGAAACACTCGAAGTCGAGCTATGTTCAGTTTTAGAAGTCCGTGAAAAATTGTAATGAAATAGTGGGTTTGAAATTAAACGGTGTGTGTGTTGTGCAGGTACCACACGGGCGAGCGGCCCTACGCGTGCGCGGTGTGCGCGCGCTCGTTCCCGCACGTCTCGCACCTGCGCCGCCACGCGCGCGCCGCCTCCTGCAACACACTGTGAGCGCTCCTCCGATATACCTTAGATCGTGTCTCTCATGTCCACTGCGATATATACCCATGTCACACGTGAGGATTTCTTTAAAAGAACCTGAATTTACTAAAAGATCCAGACATAATAAAGGTTTTGTAACGACGAGCTAAAGGTCACTACGGCGGAGTCATTCGTGACACTGTTAAAATCATAGATTTCTTCCTTTGAGCCTTAAATCGTAGATAATAGTTTTATCAGTGAATAAAATAACATTTAATACAATAATAATACATTTAAGCAAACCACGCAGGACAACAACACTGCAAAGAGAAGGAAAACTTGACCCGAACCCTATACCGACCCGTCTGGCGAGCACGGTATAGTAGGCCACGACCTCGTTTGTGAGGAGAGGCCTATGTCTAACGGTGGACTAAAAGGCTGTTGATGAACGACAAAATAATAATTCAGGTTTAATGGCTTCGACGAGCGCGTTGCGAAGCGAGCTCGCTTCCAGGAAGCACAGGGAACATGAGGTTCCCACACTGGGTCGCCTACTCGTCTGTAGATGACCCGAGGTATGTCGGGGCACCAGGGACTTCCTTTTTAGGGTACACCTGGTTCCCCGGCTATTAGTACCCGAGACGGCGTGCGGTTTTAGTCGGTTCGAGTCCGACGTGTCACCGACAGGTGGTATCCGAGGGGATTTTCGAACGGGAAAAAAAAAGGTTTAATGGCTTTCAAAATAACATCAAACCATGAACGCAAAAAATTAAAGACACAGACAGATTCTTATACAGTACCTTTCTGATATTATTTACTAAAATAAAAATTTATTTTTAGATATACTATGAACTGTTTCCGTCTCTCTTCCAGCGCTCCCAAGACGGAGGTGGAAGAGACTGCGTGCTCTGGCGCGTGCAAGGTACGTTCGAAGAGAATGAAGACTGACGCTGTGATATTAGCCGTTAGTTAATTAATTTATATTATTACGTATACATGTAACTTTATCATGCACCTCACATATTACAAGAAACTAAATACATTGTAAAAGAGGAAAGAAACCTATTAATAAGTGTTTTTATATTATGTTCTTGATTGAATGTTTTACGATGTTTGATATTCAACAGAAGGCCAATTATCGTAATACACGTTCGGTTACAATTCAGTACCGATCAACTATCGATTTCACTAGTCATCTATACTAATATTATAAAGCTGAAGAGTTTGTTTGTTTGTTTGTTTGTTTGTTTGTTTGTTTGAACGCGCTAATCTCAGGAACTACTGGTCCGATTTGAAAAATTCTTTCAGTGTTAGATAGCCCATTTATCGAGGAAGGCTATAGGCTATATATCATCACGCTAAGACCAATAGGGGCGGAGCACCAATGAAGAATGTTTCAAAAACGGAGAAAAATTATTACTATTGAGAGACGCAGACGAAGTTGCGCGGGTCAGCTAGTAAATTATAATTTCGTAGTAAAATATTAAACATCTAACGTTGACTGTAACGTGATTATATCGTATTGTAAAGAAAATTGAATCGATAATCTGCTAGTCTTAGAAATACTTTACTATTTTACTACGAAAATACATTTTATGACATTTTATCGACTGAATTTCGACTGAACTTTTATTACGACGATTGACCTTCAGACTTTTAAGCAATCCAAAACTTTTTTTTTTTTCTCCGTGCGGAAATCCCCTCGGATACCACCTATCGGTGGCATGTCGGACTCGAACCGACTAAAACCGCACGCCGTCGCCGGGTACTAATAGCCGGGGAACCAGGTATACCCTAGAAATCCAAAACACCTAATGTTTTCTCACCTCTTTGTATTACTTATAAGCAATAAATAAAATGTTGTCTACATCATAATCGAAATGAGTGAATATATCTTTAGACACATTTCTGAGCATTAGAATTAGATCCCTATACTTCACAGGGGGGTTTGAGCTCACGACGAAAATACGACCAATATTGTGTTAATATCTATGCAACAGTTGTAAATAAATAAATTATATATAAACTAATGTAAATCTTGTTCTAATATACATTTGTAATCGTTATCTTATACTTGGTGTCAAAAGAAAAAATCATAAAATCATGTTCAATTGTCTTGTTACAAGCACATGCTACGATGGATGACTATTGATACCCATAAAAATCGTACGTATTCTTCCTGTGACTGCCCATTGCTAAGATAAAACTTTATAGATCCTAGTCACTAATAAAGGACTATATCCTAGTGTAAGCTGACGGAACTGTTTTGTACTTAAGCTGCACCTGAAGAAATCTACTTAACTCTTTGCAATAATCTTTAGCTTATTCTTGCTTAAATTTCGTAAAACAAGTTTACATGCGAAAATATTTTTTAAACTATAACAATAAAACATTAAGTCGTTTTAATTACCTACAATTATGGCGGGTAAACGTAAGGAGAATCATCATTGTACGAGTCTTGGTCAAAAATCGTCAAATTATTATACAAGATTCACATCCAAGACAAATCCGATTGTTATACAAGGCAAATTAAATCGGTTCCGTATCGTTTACTTAAATTGTAATTTACTTAATTTGTATAGTAAATAAAAAAACAATACGTTTGATGCTTTTGTTTTTATTGTTACCCTACATAACATTACAAATAGATTAATCTTTGTCCACAGACAGGCCTTAAATTGACGATTGAAGATTAATTAGTCTGCATTGTCACGTTGGCCAACATGGTCGACTTGGTATAATTTTCTTAAATTATAACTTATTGATATATTCAAGCCTAGCCTATTGAAATTATATATATTTTATGGAAGAGTGGGCAAACGAGCAGACGGGTCACCTGATAGATAGTGGCGGCGGTACCGCCCATGAACGCCCGCAACTCAGAAGTCACATGCGCGTTGCCGAATATTCCCATATCCCCCTTTCCCCAAATCAGTTATATGGTGAGTTTAGGTCTACTCAGAATAATAAAGTTGCATATAAATGTAGATACATTACTTTTAACATTAAATATATCTCATTGACATTTGTAAGTAACGGACAAATCTTTTGCCGGATAATAAAATATCAAGACAACATGCTGCAAACCATGTCATCGGTGAAGGATGAGACAATATAGGAGGAGACTTTTAGCAACGAGCTAACATCTAGTTTGTCTAAGTATATTCTTTAGTTATAATTATGTACTTTATGCATGTGTAACTTGATCTTCCTTCTCGTTTTCCTGCAATCTCTCAAATGAGTCAATAAAAAGGGACGAAAATGTGTAACAGGGAGCCGACAAAGCGTGCGGTATTTGATTTGACCAAAAAGACATCACATCTTCACACTGTTGTTATACACATCTTCTATGTCTAAGACAACAGTATGGCTCCCTCGTTTTTTCAAATATTTTACATACATGTTTTTTTTAGGCTTGGCAAAAATATTTGTTTTACTCTGGGTGGAATAAACTCGCACTTAGGCCCTATAAACTAATCAGTCAGTTTTAGTAAATGCTGATTCAAGTAACAAGTACATCGGTGAAACCGACAATGCCTTCACTGAGTTTTGTGACGCAGGTAATCTATACATTTAGAATTACTTGCTCTGACTGAGTGATTCCTCAACGTATTCCTACTCTGCTGGGGCTACAAATTGGGGCTTGAAACTTTGGCAGCTAATGCTTTGTATGTTGAAAGCACCTATTATGAAATGATTTTTTTGAAGTTTTAACCCTAAGGGGGTGAAATAAGGGATGAAACTTAGAAACACAAAATTGGAAATAATCACTCGAGCGAAACCGGGGGAAATATTTTTATATTTGCATTAAAAAAAAATTACCGATACAAGATATTCGTTTTAAACACTTAACCAAAGAGTTACATTAATATTTGCTCGATACATTTAACAGTACAAATCTACTACAATCAAACTAAGAAAATAACAGCGCTATTTTAGTTACGCAGTGTTTTAATTTTACAAATGTAAAAAGGCACAGTATCGCAAAACAAGGTTTAGCGCTAGGAGTTGCCTGCAGTAGATACGACCTTCCTTAATCTGCTGTCATGCATTAAGTCTATAAATATAACAGGAACAAGCGGGCCGATCTAAATTTCTGAAATTAAAACTTCGTATTTCTGTTAGTTACTAAAGGACCGTTGCTTCCTGTAAATGAATCTTTACCTATCTTTCATGTAATGCTTTCTTTAAAAATACCTACAAATAAAATAATTTTACTTAATTAAAAATTTCTGCTGGAAAACCATTTCTATTTTCTTAGATTACCATGATTTTAACACTCCGTGTTATACAAATCACACAATATTATAATTTACAACAGAATAAAAAGGATAATTAAGTTAGTTTCCTCATTTAATGATTTGATTGCTGTTTTAAAAATAGAAAGTTTCAGCTTTCAATATTTGACATTTTACATAAAAGGATGTTGTATATTCACTATAGATTATTGTATTGACATAAATAAGTTTAGCGCCATCTAGTGGGGATTGGCTGACCTACGCACTACTAAGTACAGATTTTGCCTTACACAATGAAAGTTTCTACAGCGATTAGTATATTACGTATACAACTTCCAAATGGAGGGGATATCACAGCCACCATGACTTTAAAAGATAAATTTACAATAATTCTGGTAGCTTGTGTCTGGTAATTGTCAGTTTTTGGAAATTTTATACCTCATAACGTTTTTGAAATGCATTTTACTATTACACCAAACTTAATACACGAGATCAAGATTATCTTCCATAATGAAATGATGTCCCTTATGATCATTTTATATCCGACGATAATTTTTTACCAAAGAAAATAATTTTAATATTACTAAAGCCACTTTTTTTTTACCAAATAAAACTTATAATCTAACATCCATCTCGAATCGCATCACTATTTTGAATGAATGTAGACTTTTTCCTCTATATGGCAACATAAAATAAACGATAAAAACATTAATTAACAAGACTTATGAATGCTTAGCACTTGGATTTGTCATAATTTTCTTAATTAAATAATAAACATTAGATTTATTAGTATCAACTTACTTGAGTTTACATACTTTTATTTTATATATTAAGAGACTAATACATAACAATAGATATTATGTACCCGTCGACAGTGGTCACAGGCTTTATAAGTATGTGATAATAATTGATTACATTATTTTCAGTATGTATATCATGGATGGCGAAAGTTTCGTTTAAATAGTGACGTTTCGCCTGTTTAATCAGGTTCCAAGCTTTCGTACGAAACGATAATTTCTTGGAACCTGATTGGTCAGTGGGCGGGGCTTGACTGATGCGTCACTATTTTCTATTACTTATAAAATTAGGAGCAAACTACTCTAACACAAAACAACATTTTTTTACCACTTTTTTCTGTATAAATGCTTTGTTAATAGATAATTTATAATGATAAGTTCACAAATCACACAAAATATCTATATAATTCTAAATACATACATATTATGGGTAAATTACATTCAGACAGCACAAATTATCAGTGCTCAACACATAAATATTCGTCCAGGCTGGAAATCGAACCCACGGCCTCTGGCTCAGCAATTGCTTTTTAGTGTTGATAATTACACTTGATCTGTTTATTGCATCGCGTGTTCGTCCTCTTCATCAGATATTTTCATTTTCTTTACGAATTCGTCCAAACTGCTTTCTAGACTTTCATAAGTGTGATGATTTGAGTTTAGCTGTGGAGTACGTTATAATGTTAATTTTATATTTATATTTTAATATTCAGTTTGAATTTCAATTGAATTTGAATTTGAATTTCATAAGTCTGATGCCGAACTAGGCAGAACCTATACTATAGTAAACTGCTGATAATTATATATATTTGATGTTATTGCATGTATTACAAGAAAAAAGTACTATCAAACAATAAACACTTATACAAGTAGATATCTTTGAAGGGAAACTTAAGTTGTTCTCTGACATATATGCATGACAGTAGCGTACAGAGACTAGTAATCTATCATGGGTAAAATTAAATGCAGGCCACTGACCATTCTCTGCACCCACTTGGAGAGATGCTCCGTGTAGAAGGGTTTGGTGTAGCGGTCGTCGGCCAGCACCACCCCGCCCCAGTCCAGCTTGTGGCGGACGCAGCGCCCCACCGCCTGGTTCAACGCCCTGCACATCCAACATCTCTTTAATGCTTATTCATATTTCTTGTTTCATCTTTGCTTCTTCTTTATTTTTTGTATATTTTATCTCAGTGTACGCCCAGAGGTGGAAAGCAGACGGTAATTAATTAGTAATATAATTAATTTTCTATACTAAAATTAAAAACTTTGTCAATAGTATGTAGATATTTAATGTTTATGTAGAGAAAATATTTAGTAGCTATTAAAGCCCGTTTAGTGAATGTAATAAATAGATGTCTATTATTATTACTTTTGATAGAGATATACTGAGAGTTTGGAATCAATAAGTTAAAAAAAAATAGTTTTCCTTACAAATTTGCACTCCTTAGGGCGTTTTTGAAAAATTAGTAACAATGTTTTTTATTAGTTGTAATTAAGAAGAATATTTTATGTGAGTTTAAAAACGCTACTGCCCAAAACACCGAAGTTTCATATAAATTTCTAACCCCCATTTTGCACCCCTAGGGGTGGTATTTTTGAAAATCCTCTCTTAGTGCACGCCTCAATCAACTAAGGAATATTTGTGCAGAATTTCATTCTTCTAGACCTAGGGGTTTCAGCTGAGCATTGATCGAACAGTCAGTGAATTAGTCTGTCAGTATCTTCTTTTTTAAATACAAAGATTTTATTATATACTAGCTGAGGCCCGCGGTGTTACCCGCATTTGTTGTTATAACCGCGGGCAACGCCGCGGGGCGAAACTAGTCTAAAAAAGAAGCCTAAGTTACTCCTTATGTCATCAGCTATCTGCCAGTGAAAGTCCCATCGAAATCGGTCCAGCCGTTCCAAACAGACAAAAATTGTAAAAAATGTTATTTTGGCATATCTCACCTTTAATAATAAACTGAATTAATTCAAAATTTACGTTTTTCGAGTTTTCAACAAATACCAAATCAACTTCATCAGTAGAACACGAACAATCCAACAGCCGACTCGATACCATGAAAATGGCAGAGATAAGAGATCGTCGTTCTCTTTTTGACGAACTCGCACGTACATGAATGTCAAATTTTAAATGCGATTTCCCACAATATTGAAATTCTAAGTTAATTCAGTTTATGAATAAAGGTGCGATATGTACCGTGTAAACATATGTACATATGCATTTAGTAAAAAGCGGTTATTTTAATATTACAAACAGACACTCCAATTTTATTTATTTGTATAGAGTATAGATATCTGACTCACCCGCACTCTTCTAAAAAAAATATTAAGGGTTGCATACCTGTAAGCTTGTACCCGTAGCCAGTCTTTCCCAGAAAGTAGCCCTCTAGACCTATGCCTATCGTTGTACTCCATCTTGGCTTTGACTGCAATTTCGTATGTATTCGGATAAGGTATACCCATCTGTCGACGAAAATAATTACATTAAAAACCTAGCAACTAGATAATACAGCCGGCGACTGTCAACACAAATTGAAATAACTTGTTACTGCGCTCAGTGTTGTGGGTTCGATCCCCACATAGGACTACGCTTTGTGTGATCCACTAATTGTTGTTCTGTGTCTGGGTGTTCTTGGTATCCGTTTCATGACCGTATGTAAAGTCCCCGTGACATAGGATATATTCCGAATAGGGAAGCTTTCTTTAAAAAAATATTAGGTTTATGTATACTTACACATATAACAGCCCTCGCTTGGTGATCTTTGAAGTCCATCCCCTCCGACACCTTCCCTCGGTACACTGCGAACAGCAAGGCTCCTTTCTCTGTGGCCACGTATTCGTAGAACTCCTGCGCATACATTTGTCATTATCACATGGTAAATTTGCAGTTAATTTAATTCTCTTTATAAAATAGAGATGTAAAGAGTGGAGACTTGAGAGGGAACTTGTATGTGAATTTCATTTTCAATCAGTTTCATTATGCTATTGAACATAATCTCGGTTTTTTTAAGACATTCAGTGTTTTAACTTCTCTATCGGCAACTTCTGTATTCATTAGCAGCGGTTTTCGTTATTTCACTCTTATTTTTGGTCACTGCTTTCCTCCTAAGGCATGATAGTATACTCAACGTAACACAGAGTGAATTGTTCCAATCCGACTGATAGTTTCAGAGATTATCGGGTTTAAATAAAACAACTAAAATTCACAGCTTTATTATAATAATATTGCTATTGATCAAAAGTAGTGTACGTCATGGGACAATGGGATAAATGGGACATACCTTCATCATTTCTTCATGGTCATTAGAGTTTCTTTTCTCGTAGAACACGTGTTTCAAACTCTCCATTTTTGATAACATGCCAGTGTCCATCCATCTGGAATAAATTAAGGTCTAGGGTAAGTTTTATTACACAATAAAGGTACAGCCTGAGTTTTTTTTAACATAATCATCCAAATCGGTTAACAAATTACGAAGACACACAAATACAAAGTTTCCCTTCTTCCTAATAATGGAGGGGGGAGGGGGGGACCACTTACTCTTTTCTTAACCCGTCAATTCATTTGCGCCTATATCATGAAAAAATGTTATTAAAGAATATCTAGTTTGAATTCTATGTTTATATTTCAAACGTTAAACAAAACATAAATAGTAAACGATTTGACAATAGCAATGTATGACGTCACTCGTTATTACGTATAAGTACAAGACACGTTTTTGACCTTCATTAGACAGTGGGTGTCAGGCCAATACAGTTGTTCTGTGGGAGGTCGACTTACTCTCTCTTCAGCTTGTCGAGCATGGCGTAGGACGTGACGAAGCACAGGACGCCGTGCGGCGCGAGCTGGCTCACGCGCAGCACGAGCTGGCCGAACCGCTCCGTGGCCCCGGGGACCCGCGTGCCCTTCATCGTGTACTCCTGCGGGCCTCGCGCGTCCCCCGACACTACCCCTATCCAAACCTACACATACACAAACGTTTACTGATATTTCTTTTGGTCAACTTACTTAAAAGTTTGTGATGGGTGTCGTCAGGTTGTGGAGTTTCAAGTTGTAATAGCGTATTTTCAGAATATGTGAGTGGTTATATGTAAAATTAAATATTATCAGCTATAATGATTGTGAGAAAGCACACGTAAGAAAACCAGAGATATCTACATAATGAAACATTTTGTACAGCCTATTCTTATTCTATTTTAACCTCCTCCTCATCCTGCACGGATGGCGTAGTGGTTTAAGCGGTCGCCACGCCGCTCACTGCTACGCTCAGTGTTGTGGGTCCTATCTCCACATGGGACAACACTTTGTGTGATCCACAAATTGTTGTTCTGAGTCTGGGTGTTCTTTGTGTCCGTTTCATGTACTTTTGTAAAGTCTCCCGAGACACAGGATTTATTCCTAGTGAGGAAGGGGTTGTCTTATTTTAAGATAAAAAAGCCAGCATATTCGCATAAGGATAGCGAAATGTATTGTAGCCTAACACACTAAAATTCAATGCTTGATTTATTCATAAAATACCAATAATATTGTGAGTAATAGCCAAAAAAGGATTTTTTTAAATTTATTTAACTTACTAGTTTGTTAGTTTTGGGCAAATTTTGGAAACTGAATTAAACAACTTCCTTATCCTGTGATTTGATTGGCTCCAGAAGAGAGGACTTCTAACTCTATAACTCTAAGATTGCAAAATTTAAGAAAATACACTAATCAGTAGGAGTATATGTATACTATCGAATAAAACGTATACGTATACGTTACAAGCGTCTTCTCGTACGTTGGTGTGCACGTTTGTACGTGTAAGTCTTGTGTGTAGGGGGATGCATATCATTTTATTTTATTTTATTTTAAACTTAATGCACATATTGTACAAAGGCGGACTTATTGCCATTTGGCATTCCCTCCCAGTCAACCTTCAGGTGACTAGAAACATGATGCGGTGGGTGCAAAATAAAATATTAAATTTAACATATTAATACATAACACATACATACATAAACCTACATAAATTTAATAAAATATATAAATACTCAGTCGGGTACTAGCGTTGTGACTGTTCTGCCTATTCACTCCACTTTTCTCTTGAATGCAAGGCGGTCTTTTCACTTACCCTGTCGTCCGATATAACGTGGTTCGGTGACACACAGAAGGGGAACGGTGTCCCGAGTTCAGCGTGGATGTTGCCCATAGGGGTCATGGTGCCCGACGACAACATGATGGAGCGGGCGACTTTCAAGCTCTCCATCACAATGGCTGCGTTCATACAATACAGGTGCAAGGTTAAGGTTTCCGTGTCGACCCTCTGCAATGTAAAGTGTCGTATGTTAGTGGCAGAGTGATTAATGCGACGGCTGCGATCGATAGTTGAAGGAAATTCTCAATTCGGCTTTATTTTTTTGTTTCTTAACCTCAGAACGCCGTAACATGTAAATAACTTGGATTTTTCTATGGGAGACTTTATTGATAATTTTGTTAAGTCTGTACTAAGCTAAATACTTGTGGCACGTCAATAGTAGACGAGTTTCAGCCAATAAGCTAACGTCGCTGTTATAAATAGTACAATTATACGAAAGATTTATTTATTTATTTATTTATTTTCTTTAAAAACAACTATTTTAGATAACGACGATTTATCTAAAATATTTGAAAGCAATAGTACTTTTAATTACAGTTATAAAATAACGTTACTTACTGGATCCTATGAGGCATGAAAACAATAAAAAGTGTAAATTAATACATGAGCCTTGTGATGTTTTATCATTTTATATGTGGTGCAGATAGTGGCTTAATACACGGTATTTAACATCAATACTGTAGATCCGATAAACCATAAATACCTACATCCGAATACCAATGCAAGAGACAGATCGTTATGTTGGACTCGAATACGTTAATTTCATACACCGTTATACAAGGTAATACAGACGTACTGAACCCGTTACATGACTAAATAATGTTACACGTCTTCCGACCCTATTCTAAAGCCTTATTGCTGCTCATCACCTTCTTACAAAATGGCTCTTCCACGATATTCATGTGTTCATGAGATCAACATCAACAGCTTTTAATAGTCCACTGCTGGACATAAGCCTGTTCTTAAAAACAAACAGGCTGTGTTATGATCCTAAACAAACGCTAAACTAACTGTCCGGATGGCCCGGTTAAGCGGTCCTACTGCGCTGAGTGTTGTGGGTTCGATCATGGGACAACACTTTGTGTGATCCACAAATTGTTGTTCTAAGTCTGGTTGTTCTTGTGTGTCCATTTCATGAATGTTACTAAAGTGACCCGTGACACAAGCTGCTAAATTCGTACTACGGTCGTCGTCTCTTGAGAACGAGCGATCAAATCGGTGAGAGTGACAAGTGTTTGTTATTATGTTTATAAATGTGGTGCGATAATTACCTTATTAAAATAAGACTTTCTCCACCCCTCGTTGGCAGACAAGCCACTGGTTTTGACGGACACGTACCTCTCCAACACCGGCTTGAAGTCATCCAAATGTTGGCACAGCCCTCGGTACATATACCCTGGTGATACATCACAATACATTATTGAAATATTAATAATACCAGTGGTACTTTTATGAATAACTAGCTGAACAACTTCGCCTGCGTCTCTCAAAAGCAATTTTATCTCTCCCGCGCAATTGTACAAAAGAACAGATATTTTAGATAAATGGTACGTCTGTGTCCCTATTAGTATGTCCAACTTGTCATCGTGTCTGTATTGTTTATATCTTTAAATCGGTTTAATAATTAATATGATACAATGAGACTAAGATAAACTCACACTTCAATTTAATAATATTAATAGTAGCGATGTGACTAGTAATCTTGTTAACAGTTAAATTGTTTATTTCAGAGTGGGATGAAGACACAACGTTTTGAAACGTTTTTTCTCGCCTCAATACATTTTTACATAACTTTTACGTTTTATACTGTGAGAGACTGGTACCTAAGCTAGGCTCAGAGCCTGTATTTCAGGACACCAGGGTCCCCTTCTTAATTGGCTACATTTCTATTAAGATTGTGTCCTAGGGTTCGACCCTACGGCCATTAGAGAAATCTGACGCTAAGACCACGTACCAAACACAGTTGCGAGTGACTCCAAGAGAGTGCCGGTGGCCTGGGTGACTCCATACAGCGGGCGAGGGTCTTCCCGCAGCCGCCGACAGAAAGTGTCACTGCTTACCTTGAAATCTGTTCACAAAATAAGTTAATATAAAATATCTTGCAAAAGTTAGGTAGTAAGTAGCTGTTTAATGTATAAAAAAGTTGCAGAACACAAGTATAATGTAAGACATTCAAGACATAATTGGTCGAAATTCGATAACAGAGACATAATGACTGAAGTAGGTACTGACCATTAAAATGTTTGTAACCGATGTTGTGGTTCTCGAGCGTGTCCACGAAGTACTTCGTTTCCCACGCGTAGGTAGCACTGTTGCCGTTCACGACCTGACTCTGTATCAACGGCAGCTGGTGTTCGAACCTGGACATAAACGGAACATAGTGATATATTCCACCAGAGAAAGGATATGTGATGATTGATAACATAATCATTAATTTGAGGTATTTGAGCATTTATTTTAAAATTTGCTCTTACTTTAAGGTCCGCTAGTCTAGCTGGGACTTGCTGTGTTACCCGGAATAGTTCCTTGCTCATACCCCGGGAACACTACAATTTATTCGCGATAAAGCCTATGTGTTAGTCAAGGGTGTCAGCTACCTACATACCAAATTATATCAAAATTGATCCAGCCGTTTGAGCGTGAAGAAGTAACAAACATACAAACACACACTCACACGCTGTCACCTTTATAATAATAGTCTGAGTGAGTATGATCATGTGATTCCCACCCATCTATCATATATTTATGTCCATACATATTGATAAGGGCCTAGACGTAAGAAGCATACTAATATCTGGTAATAGAATATTGTAGAAAAATACGAAACAAGAAGAAGAGTGGGTTTCAATATTGTCTTTGTTATAACCACCTGGAGATGAGCATCAAACTATAAATCACACTTCAGTTTATCGCAGAATAAATATCTGTTATAAGTTTTATACGAGTTTCATAAGCAGTTCTGCAAGAAGACACTTTTAAGTGGGAGGGGGAAGGAGGAGTGTGAGGATGCAAACGTCAGGAATAATTATTTTTTTTTGTGATAGAGGGCAAACGAGCAGTCGGTACACCTGATGGTAAGTGACTTCCATCGTCAAAAGACACTAGTCAGATGCTGACTTTTGAGCGAGTGGGTTAGGGCTATGGCAACACGGCTCACTCGGTAAAAAAGCAAGGAAAGAATAGCGTAACACCGGTTTTCTGTGAGACCGTGGTATCACTCCGGCTAAGACGACCCATGTGTTCCGAAGCATGGTCTTTCCACGGTGAAATGATAATGTAAGTAGGTCATTCCTCTGTATACAATGGGTTATCTAGTCATATAATTGATACCTAACCATATATTAAAAAACTGAGACTTTCCATTCAAACTATATGTGATAGCATAGCCATATTATTAGTGAGTAATGGATGATATTATACTCGTATACTTACCAATCGTTCCAGTTCTGTAAATGGATTACCAGCTCATCGACGTAGCTCAGAACGTCTTGGTTCGCGAACCGGTACTCGGCTACTGAACGAAGTTCCTTAAGCAGAAATTACGGACATTTATTATTGAGACTGAGAACTGGGTAAATAATTTGTAAAGAACGTTAAATTAATTATTAATGCAAGAAGTGCCTGATTTATATTGACGGGTCTGTTGGTCTAGTGGTTTACTAACCACTAGACCAACAGACTCAGGGTTACTACCCTGGCTGTTAAACCGAAGGTCATGGGTTCGATTCCCACCCAAAACAAATGATCGTGATAAGCACGATCATCAGTTCTGTGTCTTATTAGTATTATTAGGAGACAAGACAAGTCTTATTAGTATTAGCAGAAGAAACAAGTACAAACTAAGTGACACAACGCTACAACTTGTAGAAAAAAGAAAAACCTACTGTCAAAACATCCCAAAATAGATAACATAAAAACGATAACGAAGTAAAGCAAGGAAATCACAGAGAATATAAGAAGAGATAGGAAGGAAGATACTGAAAAAAAACATAAAGTAAAAACATAAACATATAGTGAAAACGGGAGGAGTGAAAAAAGCGCTCAAAGAACTGAGAGAATCAAATAGAGAATGGATACCAAAACTAAACAAAAAGGAGCATACCTCATCCAACAGTGAAACCATAAACGAAATAGCCATAAAATTTTATCAGGACCTCTATTCAAATTCAGAAAACAAACAAAAACATGATCCAAATAAAAGAGCCAAGAATGAGCAAGATAACGTGATAACTGAACCAGAAATACTTTCCAGAGAAGTATAAAAATATATTTACAGCCAGAAGATGGAAAAAGCTGCTGGCCCAGACAAAGTGACAAACGAACTTCTTAAAGGCACCCTTGAGGAACTACTACCAATACTCACTTCATTATTTACCGAAATACTAACAAAAAAATACTAACAACTGGCCTGATCCAGTCCAATCCAGTTCCGTTATATAAAACATCAAACATTATTCTTATATTTAAGAAAGGACAAAAGGAAGACATCGGGTACCTATAAGTCTGATTTCAAATATCTGTAAGGTATTTGACAAAGTTATTCTGGAAAGAATAAGCAAAAAGTTAGACGAAAACCAACCACGAGGGCAAGCCGGCTTTAGACAAATATACTCAACTCCAGACCACATACACACAGTAAAATAAATAATGGCAAAATATAATGAGTATAATAAGAAACTCTATATGGCATTCATCGATTACTCCAAAGCTTTCGACATCATAAGGCACACAGCCATATGGGATAGTCTAAAAGAGCAGAGGATACCCCTAAAATACATCGCTGACCTGTCAGCCTGTGACCACGGCCGGTGCAACCTGGTCGAAACGTCAGGCAAACCAGAGGTATGTAATACCCTAAATAAGAGATCGCGTTAATTCCCGTTAAATAATATTAATTATCATGGAACGCGAAAGTTTAAAAGTTAGTAGGGAGATCCTCTTCCACCAAAATTGTTCTCGGCTGCTCTCGAAAGTATTGGGGAATCGTTCGTATCTACGATAGCGGGTAAAGTTAAGCAGAGATTATAAAAACACTTTTTACAGTAGATATGAGTCACAGATATAGTTCACAAGCACGGGAAGAGTAAATACAGACATAGGCAGAAAGTTTACAGTACAAAGCAGAGAAGAAAACCGAGAAATGGAAAGTTACAATAAAAATGATCCGATTCGCGTCGTAGTCGTATAACTTTCTCTCTCGGCGTCAGTATCTCGTAACGATTGGCGAGGCAGGAAAATCCGATCGCGCACGATACAATTCTGAGCGTCTCCGTCACCGTCGTCGCTAGGCGCAGCACTTGCCGGCCGCATACCGGGCTTCTTAACCGACTTCGTTTAAAAGCGTTCGTTATGCGATTGTTGTGTGCACGCTACAGTATCTGCCGCAAACTGGACTGGAAAGAATACAGTCTAAACATGCAAGGGGTAAAACTAAATCACCTACGATTTGCAGACGATATGGTCTTATTCGAAGAAACGTAGATACGTTTGTTCAGATCTATCACATTTACCTTGAGCGCATTCTGAATTTGAGTTTGAGTGATGCTGAGGGAAGCTGCGTCGCGACAGTTACCTTCTATGTTGTGGGCCTCGTCGATCACAATAATGGCGCCTTGAAGATTTATCTGTAACTGTATTTCAAATGTTTCCATTTGATTAAGAGATTCGTTTTCAGCCTTTCAAGACGATTGTTTGAAGTATTACCATTTTAAGACATTACGTTTTTATTAAGTGGCAACTCTGTTTAATTAAACTGATTCAGAGTTTGAGTTACATCATCATCATCAACAACAGCCTGCAAGAGAGAGGAGAGGAGAGACCTATGTCCAGCAGTGGACACTGCTGGACATAGGCCTCTCCTCTCCTCTCTTTCTTTGAGTGTCCATTTATTAAAATTACATTCAAAACTAATTCATACAATGATCGTTGAAAATATTTTAGATATTAATGTATATTTACATAGTCATAATAATTGTAGCATTTAGTAATTTAAATATTTTATTACAATTTTAGTATTAGTACACGTCATTGTTAGTTTAAATCTGTAAAAAATTTCGAGTACGGTCAATATCCACAAAAAGAACACTAAAAAGGCTGCTTATATTACACAGACATACTTACCTACATTTTTTCGCTTATATTTTTGTGGAAATTCAAGCTTAAGTCTTTTTTATTTACTTTGGCAATTTTTTATTTAGGTCTGCACCTCGTCACTCAATTTTACACCACCCTAAGGTAGACTTGCAGAGATTGTGAGAATAAATTATTTTTGTGCATAAATCCTTAACTAAAATAAAACATAAGAAGTAAAATACAGATATACGTACGTTAGCCTTAATACTAGGGTCTATAAGATAGTTGTAAGGACAAAAGATGATATCAGCAGTCTTGGCCATTTCCCGCGCGCCGTAGTAGGGGCAGGCGTGCTTCCTGTGTCCAATCTGTATGAGCTCCTCTAAGTCGAAGGTGTCAGGCATAACCTCGTGTGAGAGCGCGCGACGGTTGTCATAGTACAAACACTGGGAGTCTTTCGTCTTCTTACTGTCATTGTTTGATGATGACTGGTTGTCAGACTGAAATAGAACTTTTTTGATTACATTTGTATATCCTAGTTTTGTTAGAGTTTTGTTGGAAATTGTTAATAGCCGATAAACTCAAGATTATTAAAAAAATCGTATCAGCTAAAAAGTTAGCTATTAATGTATGGGTTTTTTCTATATCCAATACCTCCTTAATTCTAAAAATAATAAGCGTCCTGTGACCCTGCTGTAGAGGATCGCTGTTAGACTTAAGCATGAGAGTCCGACTTAATCGATCATTATGTAATTCTAAATACATTTGGCCAAGAAAATGTACTGTTTCGTAGGTATACTTGATCAATTATATTAATAGTAAACTTTGCAGAGAAACAGAAAACGAAGACAGAAGATTTTTTACTCAGAAACAGCAATAGAACACTCGCCATTTTTTTCACGTATCTTGGAGTAATATAATAATAATATTTGTAATATTTTCGGAAATCTGACACAACGCCATCTAGTTTCAAACTAAGCAGAGGTTTTACTATGAATGACTAGGTTTTACTTTGGGCCGACCCGGGAATCGAACCTGAGACCTCAGCACAGCAGTTGCAAACGCTACCACTGCGCCACCGAGGCAGTCAGAATATATCTAGATAAATATTGTATTATAAGGAAAGAATTAACTGTACCCTAATACAATCGCGACACATATCATTCCTTGTGCTCCATTGGTCCTTGTTGAACTCCCTGATACAACTCTTATCTCTACTGGAAAGTATAGTCATCTTAGCTTTTCCGCAGTAAGAAGTTCTTCTGTACTCCTTGATGACCTGTTGAAGCTGCATATGTGTTCGAGCGCCGTAATAGATGGTGGGTACACTGGAATCAACAAGCATGGTTGTGCGTACCCGCAAGTTGTCAACCAGGTCGTGCAGTTTTCTGGAACCAATCACCCCCTTAATGCCTCTACTCTCTACACTACGATGCAACTATCTAACATACTACATAACATAATTAAACTACAGAATAAAGCTGAAACTCAATATAAATCGTAAGTATGTATCTAAGCACAGGGGCCAACGATCCGCGAACTGTGACTTTGACTCTCTTTTCACTTCTTAGATGTGTATAGATATCCATACTGGTTTTGTTGAATAAATAATAAAGATTTCTACTGTGCTTACATTTTGAAAGATAAGGATATTTACGAATAAGTTATAATTATCTAGAATTTTAATTATAACTTGAAGTTTGTATAATCACTTAGTTTTATAAAAAAATTGAACATAAATGCCAGAAGAATGCTTTCGTTCTGTGCTTAAAATATTCGGATAGCCAGATAGGCTGAATACCATAAACCTAATTTTTTAATTTTATAGATAAGAATCTTAGAATTTAATAAAAGAATTTTATAAATAAGAAAATGTTGACAAAGGATTATTGTGAAATTTGTAATACTTAAGTCTATGTGTGGAAGTGCAGAATATTAAATTAAATAAAACGTGTAACAAATTTAAAAATAAAATTTAAATACAGCTACATCAAGCACAATTCCAGTACTTACTCATGTATATTGTTTACAAGTAAACACAAAAAATAAATAAAAATCTACTCTATTAATACTATGCCAATAACATCGTGCAACAAACAACAACAGACAAACAACTGTACACAGGCATAATTGGCTCCATATACTTTTGATTCCCATATCCAAGAAACTGCACTTCACTCGTCTTGAATGCAATGTTGTTCTATATTAAACTACTTGTCAAAAGATCGTGCACCTAATTCAGTTTTATCTATTCTAGTCTCCTGTTCTACTTTTGAAAATTCCTTCTCACCCTGCCTCATTTATAGGTAGCAAAATAGTAGCTTTGTCTACGTCAACCACGTTATCATGGCTGTGAGAATACGAAATTGTACATATGTATGGACACTCATCGTTTGATTTATTATGGTCTCTGTTAAGTAACCAAAGTATCCAACAAAGACAAATGCCCACTTTTCGTGCAAACAAAGGGGAGTGATGATCCTCCTCCTGATGTAGGTACAAAATAAAGGCCCCATGTCCAACGACTTCTGCAGAGAGTAGTCGGTTATAATTAGGTGTGTACGAGAGTCGTATGTCGTATATCGGAGAAGTTCAATAATTTTCAGTCCTTACAGAGGCTCTTTATCAATATCAAATTGATGATGTGGCGCCTGACATAGCTATGGAAGTCAGGCCGTCGGTTAGATGGGATCGTTGGTCAACAAAATACAATCGTCATTACAACCTTCTCTCTTTCATAAATATGAGTAACAACCACGTAAGTATTTATACCAATACCTCACCAGACACCATAAAGTACATAATGATTATAATGTTACATACCCGATGTGTTCTGGAGTTTCTTTATTGTCTTTCAAAATATTCTTTGTAGGAGTACCTTGTGGACTAAATGTGTCATTTGTGATGTCTTCCTTGCCCAAAGAATCATTTCTAGGTTTCTTGTGTATGGTCACTAAACCTTCCGTGTCTGAAATACATATTTTTAAAATTTAGAATAGAAGTCAAAATGTAAACTTGGGTTTAACGAATTTGGGTATTTAGTTTAAGCATTTTTTTTAGTAAAACAATAATTACATTATAATACGCGATTGTGCTGAATAAGGTGTTCGAATGTAGCACGGTGTTAAGTGTGAGTTTATTTCACATCTACTTGATCGTCACGGTGACCGCGTTGGGCGCTGCGATTGGCCCTCACTGAAATATTCACCAATCGCAACGCCAAACGCGCTCGCCGCCGAGAGCGAGTGGATGTGAAATACACTCACACTCTGAAGACACACAACGACTCTTCAGTCGTTGGCAAAGCGAGGGAGTGAAAAGGTACACCTGCCTTCTAGAGTAAATTTTATCAGCCACAATAGGCAATTTCAAATGCTTGCTGCTCTAGAAAATAGTACAAACCAGGATAAGATGACTGTCAAATCCGAGAACGCTTATTCATATAACAACATGTTAGACGAACAAATTTTAGTAAACACTAGAATAACAGGTACTAATAATGAGAAAAGTAATAATTGAAATCACATTAAATAATGCTCTTAACTCATATTGTTAACACGCTTTTATTATTTATATATGTATGCTTTGAGCGTGATTTTGACCCACTTGAAAACGACGAATTATATTGAAACTTCGCACAATTATCAAGGACCGATGACAATACAATAATTTGATAAATTGCCGATTATCCTGACCAGGATCTTCAGGATTAACGGTTTTTTCCGTACCTAAAAATATAGTTTCTTCTGCTACGTACTAAGAGGCGTGTGCTGAATCATATGCGACTTAATTACCTTTACTTTTTCGTCTTAAACTGACTAAAAAAATAAATTATGGTTACAATAACTAAAAAACACGCCTTTGTAACTTGCCGAACTAAAAAATAGAAATTAAAAAAGCGTGGGGTGCTTTACAAAAGCGTATTTTTTAGTTTTTTTTTAACTTTTTTTTTTTTTATATGAGTCCAATGTACAAAGACATTTTAGAAAATGTGTGTATGGAGTACTTACATAAATTTAGAACACCGAGTACGTTAGCCTTCGCTAAATATAATATAAGTCTTTCATGTAGTTGTTATTTGAATGTTCTCTGAAAACTCATGGTATTTTTACATAAATGCAAGTTTAAATGTTTGCAGTAAATGTATATTCTTCACAGTCGTTGGATTTCAATATAGAGAATGTATTTCTGTGTTGTGCGAGTTACTTAAAACTTTAATGGGCTGAACAAAGAGCTGTTATTTAAATCACACACCATAAATAGCTACACAATGAGATAAATGCCTCGGTACCTACCAGACACAGGGGGTGCGTAGTGCTTTGATGTGAGTATACTGTCATCAAGCATATTAATTGATTGCAAGGTTATTTATTTACAGAAATACCTGTGTTTACCTATTACCAAAATAAGTAAAGCCTATGATGAATTTGGATGAAGCAACTTTATAACTGTGACAGGATTATTAAAATCTATTCAGTGTTTATTAACAAATCTTTGTAAAAATTATTTATAGGGTATTTGAACATATACCTAAAACATGACTGCATGTACTCGTAGAAGACAGCATTTACAATTAGATAAATATTCATCCTACGCGCAATCATAAAAATGTTCAGTCGTATTGAGAATCCCGCCCTTTTCTTAAAACACAAAAAAAAGCTAAAAAAAAATACGCTTAGACAGAGGATAGCCGAGCCGGTCTGTCCTAAAATGTAACACAGTATGATGAAATTGTACTGTTTTTTTTTATACCCATAAACTATATTATTATTAAACGTAGGTAATTGTTACGTGTAAGTTGTAAAGAAACCGGTAAGACACCCCATAACTACACCAATACATATGGAACGTTAAAGCAAAGTAAATGTAAATTTCTCAAGCCTCACACGTGATGGAATGTGTACGTTAATAGTAATCAGCCTTCATTAGTCAGCGAGACTACACTCATTGTTTTAACAGAGCTCAGAGTATATTTAGCTTACGTTAAGGCATATTTTTATAATAAAGTGAGAACATCATCAGCTGCCTACCCCTATCCCAAGTTTATTTAGGGTCGGGGCAGTATGATTCTTACATTCTACTCTATCATTCTTCATTTCAGTGTTTACTCCCTCCTTTTTTTTTTTCTTTTTCTGTGCGGAACTTCCCTCGGATACCAGCCACCAGTGGGTGATAATGTCGGACTCGAATCGACTAAAAACCGCACGCCGTCTCTAGCCATATCCTCACTCACACAGTCTATCCACCTTTACTTTGTCTTCGGTAATAAAGTGAGGACATATCGAAGGCAAAAAGCGAAAATGTTGTATCTCGGTAATTGGCCGAATTGTGAATTTTGGAAATAGTTTTCGGTCTTTGGTGTAAAACTGAATATTTCTAGATGAGCAAAACAATCACTGAAAACCTAGCAAATGTGAATTACAGTTAAAATGAAGATCAGGTTTCATTAACACTACTCGAACAAGTTTGACACAAAATCTTAAAGCTCGCAATATTGCACATTTAATTGATTTATGGTCTTTTAAAATTGTTTTTAAGTATCAAAAGAGAACTATGAAAGTACCTATGTCATATATTCACCTAAGTCGTATCAGAGTCCTAGACCTAGTCCTACCAGTTACTATTTTGTAATTATATCACTTTTTTTTTAAATATTTATAGAGATGCTACATTGACTTCCTCTTCTAATCTACTCGTATTTTCTTAGTACACCAGCCACTACCCTACACCTCCTTGCCTTTATGTTTTTCTCTCCATACCAAGGTTGCCTGTAAGAGATTGCCTCTGAGCGATAAGGCCGCCATTTGTACCTGTCTAACCTAGCTTAAGTTAATCTTTATATATTTATACCTGGTGTACAATAGAGAGATTATTATAAAAGAAAGTGTTGTTTGTGACTATCCTGTTGGCGTAGTGGCAGGTAAAGAGAGGTCGAGGATTCTTCGAGTTCGTGGTATTTGGTACGTGTTCACCCTAAGTCGGAATCAGACAGCTATACGAGAATATGTCAACTTCTTGATTATACTGACTGAAACGTACTTTCAATTATTTATAAGAATTTTACACATTTTAGTTTAGAAGCGTTTATTCATAATTTAACTAATATTAATTTTTTGGCAATTTTTTCTGTAAAATATTTGCACATATTTGTTGAAAGGGGTGAAAAATAATTTATACATTATCGTTAGGTAGGTACTTAACTATTTTTTTTTCGTAACCTTAGAAAAAGTTTATGTAGAAAAAGTAGACCCTGTAAAAGATTTTAGAGGCTGACTTAAATGTAGAATTGGGAACATAACACAAGGAATAATAAAAGAAACTAACAAAAGCACAACGAAAAATTTACTGATGAATATTTCTCTGAGTAGAGCTCGCGTTTTACCTGGGCCTCAATTCTGCTATTTTATGTTAAGGCCAAGCCAGTTTCATTCCATTAACACGCTATTGAGATGTCATTGCCATCGGTCAAAATATGGGTATTCTATTAACACAAATTCACAGTGTCAATAGATTGTCAATGTTGTAATATAGGTCATTAATAGTGATATCAACTACATTGCATTAACTAGAAAATTAAATATATATTTTCTTACAAATTTAAAATGTACAGTTTACCAAACTATAACAAAGACATTGACGACATTTGTATCGGTGAAAAGTCTCATTTGTCTTACATAGTTAGTAGAATAAGAAAAGAGCAAAGCTATTGCAACGACATTCCATCGACAGTCTATTGATATAATATTAAAATAGCAGAATTGAGGCCCAAAGCGTAAGCTCAACATGTAATGCTTGCATATTATGCGTCGGCAAGACAAAGGACAGACGGATCGTTGAGTTATGTACTAGCTATGACATTTCCAGAATAATATTAGAGATGCCAGGGCGTCGCGACTTGTAAGCCTAGGCACCAGTTCTATATGTTGCCACTTATAATAAAATAAAATAATTATTATAATTTTTTATGTTGCCACTTAGATCTCGTTAATCTACACAAATCTAGTAACATAATAAAGCTGAAGTATCTTTTCTTTCATTACTTGTTTAATAGGTTTATAATTTGAATAAAATTTGTCATTTAGAAATCTAAATGTCAATTTTTTTCATTAAATCGTTAATGCATTTGCATTTGCATTAATAAATTTTTCTTACGTCTTTTATCCCGGGAGGGGTAGACAGAGCCGTGTTTAGCGCCCACATTTTTTTTCGACTATACCTTTATCATTACGATTTGTGACAAAATAAATTTAGAATTTTAGTAACGAAATATTATTAAGTAACATTAGGTCTTAATAACTGTTTAGCCAGTGAACACAGGCGACCAGAATAATGAGACACAGAAAATAAACTTGGTCTGACTTGGTTGGATGAGTTTTTTTTTAATCTTTATGCACAAATGTGGCAAAGGTAGACTTTTTTCCTTAGGGCGATGCAGACCCAAACATGGTAGATATTATGAGTAGACATGGTAGAGAAATTAGTATAAAATGTCAGATAAACAGAGAACTTACATAAATTACATTAAAATGATTTGTAATGATTTACAAATACAATAAGTAATGATGATACTAATACACATAATTCATAAGTATTTATGTACGCATATACACTTATTAATATAAATTGTAGAAGAGGAGAGTCCTGTCTTGTCCCAAACAGGTATTGAAAAGTTTGAGATAAGGGTAGAGAAAAAACTTAACCTAGAAACCTAAGAAAAGATGGATGAATGGAGTAAAAGCGACCGATTGCATCGACCCAAAATAAATTTTGGAAAAAGAAGACGATGATGATTTTTATATCCACACATTAGGTCTTTATTTTGAATTGAAAGCTATTATTAAATAAAAAAGAAAAACAGTTTTTCATATTTACGTACCATCCTTCACATTTTCAGTATACGGTCCCGTTCGCTTCTTAGTAGAACACGATGCTTCCGGATTTTGGTAGATGCTTTTGTCACCTAAAAAATAAGATTTAGGCCTAGAAAATCGTTATCGACTGTTACAAATTTATGGGTGATTATTAACAGATGGTCCCATCACTGAATTACTGTGTGTCTTTACACAAACTTTGTGTCCATACTGCTAATATGTTTGGAGAATATAATCCTCATCGTAATAAGAAGATTTTACTTGTCACTAATACTAGACGGGTTTGTATAGGGTAGTTGTAGCAAACCCTATACAAACCCGTCTGGCCAGCGTGGTATAGTAGACCGTTCTAAGGATAGGCCACTGCTGGACATAAGCAGTGGACTATTACAGGGTGTAGAGGATGATGACATGTCACTAGAGTAGTTTAATCAGCCCGCTCTTGATGATAGTGATCCTATAAAAGTCGAAGCCCTAAACATAAATTCACCTATAACTTTTATCAAATAATAATAAAACTCTTTTTTGAACACCAAACACAATACAAGCAGAAGTTTATACTTATCCTTGTATTTTATTTGGTGTCCATCCGCATTATACTGTGACGATACAGTATTAAGCGGTTATTACAAATGGCGGATAGATCTAATGGATAAAAACGCATAATATATTCCAAGGGTACAGCAAACCATAGCAAGCAATATAAAATTTTAAAGGGCCCTTCAGATATCTACTGGACTCAGAGCTTCCGCAGTTAAGCCAGAGTCCTCAATCAAGAAGTTGATTTCTGTTAACTAGACTTTTGTTGAGAACAGTGCTACTATACAGTGCTAGATTATGTTTAACGCTGTAGTTGCATTTATATATACTAATAAAGTTGAAGAGTTTGTTTGTTTGGTTGAACGCGCTAATCTCAGGAACTACTGGTTCGAATTGAAATATTATTTTAGTGTTGGATAGCCCATACATCGAGGAAGGCTACAGGTTATAACATCACGCTACAGCTAATTGGAGCGGAGCTTTAATGAAAAATGTTGCAAAAAAAAATCCTTTTGAGAGTTACGCAACAATCGTGTACGACGAAATTGTTCCTCTTAAAAAGTTAAAAGAAAAGTCCGCAATGCCATATACTATAGTAGACTTTTTTAAGACTAAGAATAAAGACATTATGTGTATCCAAAAAGATTTCTTTTAATATCTCTCTCTTATGTGTCGCAGACGAAGTTGTAGTAACTAGTAAGTAATATAGCAACACTATGTATTTCTCAAACATAGATATTTGCTTGTATTTAAAAAAACTCGATAAGTGATAAGTTATCAGTGATCGGTAATACATATGAATACAGATAAAGATATATAGATAAAGTTATCGTACAGTGTAAGATGGACCAATTTTTGGGTAAAAATTACGTTTTAATAGATTCAGAAAACTTTGAGGATTATTTGGCATTTGTCGGTGAGTGTGAAACAGGTGTTAGAACCTGGCTTATATTAGGAATATTATTATATCATTCCGTTTTCGTGGATAATGTCGTTTTAATAGTGGTATGTGAGAACTAAATCACTTTGTCGTGGGAGAGTCATGCTTCATCACATATGGGCCGATTCGACTGGAGTGATATGGCATCGCAGAAAACCGGAGTTAGGAATTTATTTTGTTGCTCTTTATGGAGAGTGAATCAGGTTACCAGAAGCTCAACTTAAGATACTTAGGAACCATCCATAAATGACGTCACACCTAAAGGAGTGGATGGGAGGGGGTCAACGAAGTGTGACATTGTGTGACAAAGGGTGGAAGGGGTCCTAAGTTTCGTGACGTCACATTCTAGAACCTGATATGTCTAATTATTGTAACGCGAACTTGGAATTTTTAACAGTGATATGAATCATCGTGTTTTGTTTTTGTGTATGTAGAAATTATTAAAAAGTAATTAAAATGGAATGAAAACTAATTTTGGTACCGCCGTTTTAAATATAATAATTTCTAGATGTAAAATTGTAAAAATGTGACATCACACAACGGGGGGGGGGGGGGAAGGGGGTCTTATAAATGTGAGCATCTGGTCAAAAAGCCATGAAATTCGTGTGACGTAATATTTTATGGATGGCTCTTTATTAGAATTTTCGTTACTTAACAGTTCAGTCATTTATTACATTCATATTTCTTTATCATTGCTCATAGATATTGTTCTTTTGTTTTCAACTTTATTTTCGATCTACGATACGAATCGCGTTTTGTTAATTAGGAAAGCATTTTCGATCTACGATACGAATCGCGTTTTGTTAATTAGGAAAGCAAAGTGATTGTTCACTGAAGATTAATTGATTTAGTGGATCCACTGAGTGTGAATAAAATTAATTAGGTACTCATTGTGAATGTTGGTTTGACGCGCGACGCAAAATGCGTTTAAGTGTTAGATACTTTGTGATAGTAAAAGCTTAGAATGAACGTTGAATTGTTTTTCAATTAGAAAAAAACACATAACCCCACGAATTGAACGTGGGTGAAACATTTATGATATCACATGTTGTTATGTTAACGGCCTTGTTTGTCTAATAGTAAATGAGCCTGACGTAATACAGTGGGATGAACACAATGATTTACCTACAATATTATTATGTAGATATTTAGTACCTAATGAATGTTTATCAGCAATCTAGATTAAACGTCTATGTGTGAGGTTTCTAAGTTATTATTTTTAAACGACTTCAAAAACACAAAAGAGGAGGTTATCAATTAGCCTGTTTTTTTTTGTATTTTTGTTACGCGTATCTTCGTCAATTGTGGACCGATTTTCAAAATTCTTTTTTTTAATCAAAAGGATATGCTCCCGAGTTGGTCCCATTACCACCAAATCAGGTTCTGATAATGGGATCCTTGAGAAATCGAGGGAACCCCTCAAATTTTACAGCCCCGACAACGTGTTTTAGCTTTATAGGTATTTACATTTTAATTGTTTTTTATATTTGTATTTAAAAAAAGTTTAGTTATTTATTTGTATTCTAGTTTGTTTGAAGTCGGTGCCAAGCCCGATGCACAATAAGTAATACTGGTCTATGTTAGCTTTATATTAGCACAATAAAAAAATTAAGTATGTATTAAAATTCTAATGAAACATCGCAGATTTTGTTGATTAATAAAGACGTGTAAGGTCTCGTGGTAGAAATTCAAATACAACTTACGTATTCACATACTGAACGAGCGCACTTCTTATTATAGTTTCTCCAAAATGCATATCAGATACGGCAGTGACGTTTGAAATATATACTTTTAAGTTAGAAATAGAAGTGCAGAAACCTAACAAAATGTGTATTAAATTTAAAAATCCGTCCTTGTTATATTCGTGTGTAAATTTCTTTTTTGTTTTAAGACAAAGCCCGCAATATTAATATATCTTGTGTCGCGGAGGACTTTACAAACATACATTAAACGGACACAAAGATCACCCAGACTAAGAACAACAATTTGTGAATCACACAAAGTGTTGTCCCTTGTAGGGATCGGACCTGCAACACTCAGCGCAGTAGGAAGCGGCGAGGTGACTGTTTCAGGCAAAACGATTTTAAAAGGACTTTTTTATGCTTAATTTTGTATTGCATTGGTAAAAATGAAATATCGAATAACCTTCACATTTTATTAATAATAATAATGAAAAACCTCAAAACCTGTTATTGACTTATGTTGTTTTAGCGAGAAATAGGGTTAGTGGTATATAATGTTAGCAGAACAATCGTAGTAATCATATTTTATATTGCTTATTATTGACAATTACATAAAAAGAATTAACTTATTAACATTTCACTTGTATTAATTTGTGTTTTTTGTGCTTATTTGCTTTTTTATTTATTTCCATATGTATGCGAAAACCTCTTTAATCACTAACTAATGTTGTTTAGGCAATGAACATGAACACAATCTTCTAAGCGGTATTATTTGAAAAGGAAGGAATGTATTATTTACATGGCTTACATCCAGAATACGAATTTCCCTTTAAGAAATTATTTTCACCAAAAAAAGTTGGAAAAAATATGATTTAAGAGGTTTTTGAAATGACTGCTTCCTTTCTTAACACCAGTTTTCTGTGAGGCCGTGATATCACTCCGGTCGAGCCAACGAATAACTGAGTATAAATAAACTACTCGGTTACCACATTGTAAAGTTAAGCAATCCTAGCCAGGTCGGTCTATGAATGGGTGAACATTCTTAACAGCACATAAAGCGGTCGATCCCAGTTGCCATACGAACTTTTGTGACAATCGTTACGGGTAGTTGGAGCCCTAAAAAGCCCGATAACAGTCTTTCTACAGAACTTCGATATCGCCTAGTACTTAGGTTGTGGAGGTCCGATGGCAGTCGTTCAACGTAAAAATCGAAGTTTAGCCGTATCGTAGTGGACTTAAAGCCGAAAAAAGGCTCGGAGGAAGTTAGTAGCTACTAAACATCTAGAGGTATGAAAGGAATTATGTTTTTTCCCAGGAGTGAGCTTCCTTGCACGTAAAATAGCGTTGGCCCTAAAGCAGACGGTGCGCTTGACCCGCAACGAGGATGGCAGTTACAAGTTCCACTTCATATCACCCCTCGCAAGTTCCGACTTCGTTTTCACACCGGGAGAAGAGTTTCTAGAATCTAGGCCAGATGGAGTTACGGTATAGTAGAAAAAAAAATTGACAATGCGCATTAATAGAGAGATACTAAAATGTGATAGGAATATTGTTGAACAGATAAACAAAAAACTAAATGATTTAATTTTTTTTGCAGATGAAATCGTTTATAACTATACAGGATAATGTGATGACACACACGCACACAGATAACACCGGCAAAACATCTAAGCACGTGTTGGTGTTTTATACTGATAAGATGATCACGGTAAGGAAAAAGACAGATAGGTAGAAATATACATTAACAAGTGTAAAGATTTGAAAACATATTAATGCTCAAGAAACTCAGTTTGGATAGTTTTTTAAAGAATTTCAATATTTTGACATATTGGGTTCGGGTTAAATACTTTATTCTAGTAAAGAATTACATATTCACTTACATGAGAACACATTTTGAATGAGAAAAATTACAAACTAAAGTATACACAATTGGCAAAGATATTCAATTGGCAATTAAAAGAGGGTAGGTGCGAACACTCTAACTATACGGATAAATACAAGGATCAAGCTTACCTATTGTTAACATATTATTACTGACATATTATTTGACAACGTTAATGAAAAAAAGGCAATGAAAATAGGTAGTAGGTTTAATAAGGAGATTCCCATCACGATGCCTACTTATTATTGTCTTTATTTAATATACAGAAAAGGTGGTACTACGATAATGATCTACTACTTTATTAATAAATCATTTTTATCGATTAACTTTGTCGATAGTATAGAATACTATTAAGACGGCATAATACGTTACTACTAAGATTACAAGAATTGTCTATAACAAAAGAAGTCACATCGTTAATTATTTCATTACATACTTTATTAAATTGTTTTTTTTAAACATTTCAACTGTTTCAGACTACAACGGGAGAAGGTTTAGATAAAATAGTGAAAAGATACTACGAAGCGAGATGATCATCGGTAGCCAACTTTGTAACAAAAAATGTTTGTAAATAAAAGCGTTGTGTGTCAGACGTTCGAAAAATATTTTTGTTATTATTTTTTATGTTAGATGCGGCAGACGAGCAAACGGGACATCTGATGGAAAGTGACTATAGCGTCTGCAAGTCGGGAGTCAAAAACGCGTTGCCGGTCTTTTAGGAGTACGCTCTTTTCTTGAAGGTGGTATCGGTCCGGAAATACCGCAGATGATAACCTGTTCCTCATATTGGTCGTGCGAGGCAAAAAGTAACCAGAAAACGCTCAGTAGTGGAGGGCCAATTGTCTAAGTGATGTGGATGAAATGCATCTATCTATACTAATATTATAAAGAAGTAAAGTTTGTGTGTTTGTATATTTGTTAAATTGTAAGGGGTAATCTCGGGATCTACTGAACCGATTTTAAAAATTCTTTCAACAATAGAAAGCCACATTATTGCTGAGTGTCATAGGTTATATAAAAAACCGAAAAATAAAAAGGCTTTTACGTGGTAGTCCGTTTTGCAAAGTGAATCGGAGAAAAAACGGTCGAATGAAAGCGTTTCTTACGAACGCTGCCTTAACTATGAAAGATATATTTTTGAGTTCTAGAAAAAAGATGTGGAGCTTGAAAATACCTACAAAAAAGTCAACGACAGCATATGTCTAACTTTTATATTTAAGTTACAAAAAGTAGCACTCCACCTTTAAGCTACCTCTGACAGTCTCACTAGAGCAACAGTCAGTTTGTTCCATACGTAAAAATGGGCCACTCGGGAAACTTTTACAAGAAACATCTTTAATTATATGGGACGAATGTACCATGAGTCATAGAGCTCATGTTGAAGTGGTAAACCGAACGCTCAAAGACCTCAGAAACTCTGATGCTGTAATGGGTAGGGTTACTTTTGTTTTCGCGGGCGATTTTCGGCAAACACTGCCTGTAGTAACAAAAGGAACACGCGCCGATGTCATCAGAGCATGCTTAAAATCATCTCACTTATGGAGTTCTGTTGCATCTCTCAATTTACGAACAAACATGAGAGCCCATTTGAGCGACAACGACGATGACGACTTTCCGCGTCAACTACTCAATCTTGGCGAAGGAAAAATTGTCTCTCCTAACACCAACAGCAATTACATTAAACTTGACGAGACATTAGGACACATATTGCACAGGTTGGAACATCTTGTTGACGCAATATATCCCGGTCTTGAAAATTTATTGGAGAGAGATTATCATTGGCTTTGTCCTAGGGCAATAGTGTCACCCAGAAACGATACAGTGAATTAAATAAATAAACTCATTTTAGAGAAAATTCCCGGTCAGGTCAAACACTATAAGTCTATTGATACGGTTGATATTGAGGATACAGTGCACTATCCCTAAGAATTTTTAAATTCTTTGAACCTGTCTGGCTTACCTCCTCACGACCTTGTGTTAAAAGTTGGCATTCCTATAATGCTATTAAGAAACTTGAGCCCCCCCAACATGTGTAATGGGACAAGGCTGCTTACAAAAGAGTTACGGGACAATATAATCGTGGCGACCATTCTCACAGGGCCAGCAGTGGGACAACTGGCTTATATTCCGCGGATACCCATGATTCCCACTGATTTACCCATACCGTTTAAAAGTACAGTTTCCAGTGAAGATCTCTTTTGCCCTCATTATTAACAAGTCCCAAGGTCAAACATTCTCTCTGGTGGGCATTGACCTGAGAAAGCCGTGTTTTTCCCATGGGCAGTTATATGTTGGCTTATTTCGGGTTGGAACTCCTGATAGATAATATATTTTGCTACCAAATGATAACATTACATCAAATATAGTTTACAGAGAAGTTTTGAACAATTAAAATTACCATAACCAAACTAACTTTTCCCGCGACTTGGTCCTCATGGAATTCGTTTATCGCAAATCCCGCAGAAAATGTTTTTTCTTTCGGACAGAGTTACTTTCGAATTTTGTATTAGCATGCAAATACAAACTATACCTACGTATAACCCTCCTTTTGGCAGTTAGAAATTAAAACATAACACTCTGTATTAAAAAAGGATTATTAACATTATGCCCAACGAAGTGGGCACGGGTCAGCTAGTTTTATTATAACGCTATCAGTATATTATGGGCTTGCTCTGCATGGCTTGCTCTGCATACTTCAACGTTTGTAACTTTTAGTCTAGATAGATAGATAAGCCTATTGGTCTAGGGGTTAGTGACCCTGACTGCAAAGCCGAAGGTGTGTTTGATTCCCACCAGGGACAAATATATTAAAACTCAAAAAAGAATACTACTTAGTTCACATCCAAAGTAGTTATAGGAGTCTTAAGAGTGACTTTTATGCCGTTTCATTTAAAACAATATGTGATTATGTGATATTCTATCTATCTATCGATCTATCGTCTCTTGCTCTAGAGATCTCTCGTGATTAAGGAACGCAAAATGTTACGCACCGAACAGTGACGTTTGGGAAAGAAACTAGAAAATATTGTACTTATAAGAAAAACATCGAATAAAATTAGTGTTTACTAAATCAAAGTCGAACGCATCCCTTTTGAAAAATGGGAACGCTAAGAAACGTTTGTCAAGATTGTACAAACACGCCTGTTCGCCTGTTGCAGCACCAGGACAATATCAAGCTTGTTGATTACCCTGGCATAACAAAACAAACAAAAACAGTTATTGTTCTGACTCATTTTGGAAGTATATTAATCATAATAATGTATGTATCTATAAGTCTTAAGATTAAATATGACGGACATATGACTTCATAACGAGACCGAGCGGTAAAACATTGAATTGCTACGAGAGAAAATTATGATACATAAACTGGCTTTCGCCTTGCATGTTGGTTATTGCGGTAAAAAGAAGCCTATATGTCCTTCCCCACAACTCCAACTAAGTTCCTCTAAATCGGTTCAGCGATTATTGATTCCCCATACAAAGTGCCACTCCCTTAAAGGATGATTTTTGGGATAAAAACTATCCTATGTCCGTTCCCGGTGCTCAAACTATCTCTCTACCTGATTTTATGTAAATAGTTCCAGCTGTTTAAACGCGAAGAGGTAACAGACAGAAAGACACACTTTCGTATTTATAATATTGGTGTTGATCAGTTATCTGTTTCTTTCATATGTACAAGCTATGCTTAGTTTGGGACTACATAGCACATTAATACTGAACTGCCTAATTTAAAACTTTTCACGTTAGTTATTTCTTAAATAATGAATGATATTTTTTTGAAATAAGTAACAAGAAACCAATTTTTGTACTTATATTAACTGCGGCTCAAGATAGACAAATCATGTTTAGTGGTACAATTAAATAATGATAAGACTTGAGGTTGATAAGCTATCTATCGCAGATATAGGTATCAGAATATATTGTAATGCAGTCTCCATACAGTATCTGGCTTACATTGTTAAAATGGAGGAATGTTTAGGCAAAAGTTATGTTCTAGTGAACTCTGAAAATTTGGAAGATTTTTTCATATTCATAGGTGAGTTTTGAACATCTATTTTTACTTGCTTGTGACTTTTAAGTGAATGATTCTATTAGTTCAATTCGCTTTTTTTGCATGAGTTAATCGTCGTAAGTTGATAGTCGAAGATACTTGAGACAACGTAGATAAAAAGTAGTAATTTCTATATTACAAAATTAAGGTAGCAAATTTAAAATAAAAACGGTTGTCGTATTTTACAGAAGCTTGCAAACGATACAAGTTTCTATTAAATTATGGTTTGGTTAAAATAAATAAATTAGCAAAAATCTTAGGCACCTTAAAAACGGATTATACCTTCAGATCTTTAACTAATAGCTAAAAAGTAGCTAAATCAACACAGCTGTCCTAGAGTGATGTGATAAAAAGGAAAAGCATTTTGACTGTATTAAAAAAAAGAATTCTTCTTAATGCAATTGCTATTTGCAATGTTTGTTACTTCAGAACTCCGTCTTTTTTAAACCGTTATGTACATTCTTTTGTAATCAAACCGTCCCAATCAACTGTTAATTGTTTACTGTGTCCAATTTGTTAGTAACAATATTCTTAGAGACTAGTGTTAGTACAGTAGATAAAGAAAACAAACCATGAAACAAAAAAAAAAACAAAGAAAGATAGACATATACACACACAACAATAATTGCTGAGCCATTCCGTACGCAATTGCGCAGCAACGATTGATGTAACCACAGTCCAGCCTACCAAAGATCATGTTCAGGATACTGTCGACGCTGCCGCGCACCCTGGCACCAGATATGTGCATCTTTTACGCATAAAAACATATAGCATAAAAACAATCTACGCGATGTTCAGCAAACATCCCTGATGCACTACAGAAACGCTGCAGCCCCAGCAGTACCCTGAAGGCGTTATTGTATAAGAATACAGCCATGGCAATTTAAGAAATAAAGAACACAGTCTATTACTCGTATATATCTATACGTTGTATTCTTTTTAAAGTTAATTATATTTTAGAGATTCATAATACAATATTTTTTGCCCAGGTGTAGGTTATCTTGCACGTAAAGCAGCGGTAACCCTAAAGCAAACAGTTCGCATAACCCGCAACGAAGACGGTAGTTATAAGTTCGAATTTATATCACCATTGAAGATTTACGAATTCGTATTTACGCCAGGAGAGGAGTTTGAAGAAGTAAGACCAGATGGAGTGAAGGTATGAGAACTTTCTAAAGGCAGCGTAGAAACTATTATTATTTTTAAGATGAAAGTAGTAGACAAGCACGCACGTTTACCTATAAATTTCTACGTATGTTCCCAGTCTGTAAAATTAAATTGAATTTAAAAAGTTAAGTGAGAAGCTAATAGCACACAGAACGTTTTTTTAGTAAAATAGATATAGGGGAAAACGAGCAAATGGGTCACCTGATTGTAAGTCACTACCACCGCCCGCCGCATTCTTTCAATCCTCTCTAGAATAAGGGGGATTCTGGTGTTAGGGGCATAGACTCACTCAATGAAAAGAAACAAAAGAATTGCTTTTTTTATGGAAGATGGGGCAGCAAGCAGGGGCAGGGAGCAAACGGGACACCTGATGGAAAGTGACTACCGCCGCCCATGAACGTCTGCAACTCAGAAGTCACAAGCGCGATGCTGTCCTTTTAGGAAGCAGTACCATCTTTTCTTGAAGGTTTCAAAGTCGTATCGGTACAGAAATACCGCAGACGATAACTTGTTCCACAGATTGGTTGTGCGAGGCAAAAAGTGTTTTAAAAAGCGCACAGCACAAATTTTACCGTGTGGAACGAAGGCGGCAAGTTTAACACTTTCTGTGAGGCCATGGTGTAACTCCGGTTGAGCCGGCCTATTTATGTCGATGTATTGCCCTCCCCCGGTAATTGAACAACTTTTATTTTAGATGAAATCCGTAGCCACCATAGAGGAAAACAAAATGACCCATACGCAGACAGACCCCAACGGCAGAAAATGTATACACGTAAGAGAATTTTATGGTGAGAAAATGATTACGGTAAGTTCTTAATAAATAATATGTAATAATTTAGGTGTATAGTACGGTGATATAATAACTTGATGATTATAACTTGACGCATCTCACACGATTGACACTTGATTCCAAACTAGGCAGAGCCTGTACTATGGTAACCAGACTGCTGATAAACATACTTATATAATTCTAAATACATACATAATATAGATAAATTTATACCCAGACACAGAACAAATGATCGTGCTCATCACACAATATTTGTCCTGAGTGGAAATCGAACTCACGACCTCCGGCTCAGCAGCCAGGGTCACTAACCACTAGACCAACAGGCCAACCAACTGTAGTTTTTGGTTGAACTAAGTCCGAGTAACCGGTTATTTTATGTGATCCGAATATGAATAATTTGGTAGACTAGGAGTTATCGTTTTATTTATAAGGCTTAAGGTCTTTCTTATATTTCACCGAATTTAATTTAAAATAGGCCTATAACCAGTACATCTCATTACAGCTTAGTTTATGTTTTGTAATATTATTTGTAAAATCGAAATAATTTATTAAAAGAATGCATCTTAAAAAGTCGTTTTGCTCAAAGATCAATCTCTAAAATTCGTACGAATTTCAATGTGGATGAAAATTCTGCTGGTGAATGCTTAACTTGATTGAAATGTTTGACTGTTTCAGACTACAACAGGGGAAGGGTTAGACAAAATAGTAAAGAGATACTACGAGGCACGATGACTATTGCTGACAACGTCTAATAGTTTAGTGCCTAGTTAACACTCCATTCAAATGACTGATGAATGAAAAAGACAGATAGATGTAATATACTTTTTTCTACGTTATATTATAAATAAACATGAAAATACAAATAAATAAGTTCGGCGAGCGAGATAGTAAGTGCTATGGGACCTCTCGCCCATTTTAATACTGCTCGCATCAAGCATTGTCTTCAAGAGAAGCTTTCGACGAAAACATCAGATGAAAATAAACGGTATTTTGAGGCCTAGTTAAAATATTTAAAACAGTGAAAGAAATATAGAAGTCAACGTATAAGAATATGACTATTATCTTTTTTGTAAGTCAACGGTATTCATAGACTTAGTAATGCAAGTTGGTAATAAAAATTCCCATTTTTTCCTGGTTTTTTGCCTAAAATTTCACTTATGAAATATCTGTGGTTAATTAAACATAATTTTTTTTCTAAAGATTTTCACAAGGAACCGCATTGTAACTAATACGTGTACTTTTATTAACAAATAAATACTTCTTCATAAAAAAGTTCATTTTTTTTTTATTACTAATAAGAAACTGGGAACTTGTGGGCAAGAAGTAATTTAATGTAATACTCGTATTATTCTATTTTCAATGATTACAATAGTAATTTTTCCACAAGAATGTCATGTTTGGTTAGAGCTCGAATTTCCCGCCACCCTTTCATACCTTTGCTTCTCATCTACCTTTACTATAACCTTAATTTTCTTCTCTGATTTCTAAAGTGCACGGATCACGGCAATAGGTTTGCCCAGATTGGCCCTTATTACTTTAGAGGGACTAAAGTTACAGTCGCCAAAATGTGAGCGTTTAACACCCCTTTGTCTACACGGGGAGATAAACACGTGACTATGTATGTACATTACTGCTCAAAATTTTCAGTACTGTATGTGTGTTGAGTAAATTGTCATTTAAACGTTAATTTATATTATGAATACGAAAGTAAATACACCTACTCTACTGGATGAGGTCTGAACTAAATATTAGACCTTGCACCTACCGACTATTTCTTTTTCCAAAATTTAGACAACTTTTTAGGGGGTGAAAAATTCAATTCCCGAGAGGCAGTACAAAATGCCTTTGAAGAGTTTGTTGCCTCCCGTCCAGCTGATTTTTACAAGAGAGGCATCAATAAACTGTCAAAATAACAGAAAAACATAACAGAAACAACTGTGTAAATAACAGAAATAAAAAAGTTTGAAAAAATAAGTACATTCACTTATTGCATACAAAACGGCAATTTCATAGGTAAAGACCGTAGGTAGTTAATGTTGAAACTTGAAAAAAATCAACTTGTTCTTCTTCAAGAACAACTTTTGGTTTTATTCCCAATTTGTTATGAGAATGTATGTATGTAGTAATGTATTTAAAAGGCTATGGTAAGAAAACTTTAGGAATTCCATGACAAAGAAATGAAGACGAGACCAGTATATTTTGCAAGGATTATATGTTGTAAGCGTGGCAGTTAGATATGTGAGTTTAGTTATTTCATAGTAAAACAGAGTCCGTGTGGTGAGGGATTAAGAATACGGAGGGTCGCCACCCCTCATCCCGTGGTGGTCGTAAGACTAAGAGAGCAAACTAGCAGAACAAGGGCACTGCACAGAGAAGTAAAACTTGAAACTAACCCTATACCAATCCGTCTCAGCGTGTTATAGTAGGCCAAAAGTCCTTTTTAAGGAGAGGCATATGTCTAAAAGTGGAGTATGAAAGGCTATTGACGACGATAATGATGGAAACAGAGATATTTAGGTCAGACAGTTTCCGATCCGGTCAGTTTTAGGTAATTCAAGTTCCATTACGAATCGTGTTATATTAATGACTTTATAATTAATATTACAATTGCAACTGTACTTGGTTTTGGCAGGTCAAACCATCGTGACGTAACTTGCGAATCCAGAAGGTCTTTAGGATGTTATCGTATGTGAAGTAGGTACACCAATCTGCAATAAGCTACTGTAGTGGACTGGATCTTAATTAATTAAAATTACAGAATATGGTAGGTGGATCCTAATCCCTCTTATAATGAAGTGTTCTCGCAAATACTTCTAATACCATCAGTGTCATGTGCTAGCCTCCCTTACTAGTAGAAACAGATTTTATCTCAGTAAAATTAATAGGATCTAAATCCCAGAGAATATTTAACCATAAAGCCCAATTTATGAAGTATGAAACGAGCGTTTGCATAATCAAATTTCAACCAACTTAATCCTCATATCGACTTTCACTCAACATGGTTGGCGGCCCTTATCGTGAGCTAACAACCCAGAACATTCTCTCCGGGGCACTTTCCAAAACACGATTCCCTATTCCATTAGACCCTCTCAAGTTATCTCGCGTTATTTACATCGCCTGACCGTACTGTCTTATATAGTCGACCCCTTATGTGTCTAGTATATAAGTGAGCAATGGCTCGTATGTACTGGTTTATAAGGGTGGTTTTGGATTGCTGCCGGCCGCATGTGGGGTGGGTTGGGGTGGTGTAGGGTGTCGCGGTGTCGTCGCTATGGCAACGGCGCCCGGACGCCGGATCCCGACGCCCGCAGTGTCGGCCGCCGCGCCCGCGCCCTCCGCACAAGTGACACGCGCTTCGAAAAAGCACAACCACCCCGGCCGACTGGAGTATGCAACTTTTTGATTCTCTCAGGATATTCTTTGTATGTTCTCTAATAATTTTTGTTTATTTTTAATGGTGTAGAGGCAAATTGACAGATGGGCCACCTAGTGGTATGTGACTACTGTCGCCCATAGACATCTTCAACTCAAGAGACAAAAGAATTCTCGTTCAGAGTTCCTTAACTTCACTTCTTTACTACTCTATTTCGACATTTAATAATGTGTGTCAAAGTATAGATTTAAAAATATATTTTAAGTTTCTACTACATTATACCTAGAGACGACTAAGAGAGCAACTTAATCTCTCTCTGCGTCGCAGCAGATTAAGTTCATTTAAGTAGAAGATCGTATTTTTATTTAGGTATCATCATCATCTACAATAGCCTTTAATAGTCCACTGCTGGACATAGGCCTCTCCTTGGAAAGGAGGTCTTCGCCTAAAATACCACGCTGGCCAGACGGGTTGGTATGGGTTTGTTTCAAGTTCGCCTTTTCTTTGCAATGCTGTTGTCTTGCGTTAGCTTCCTTAGTCGCCTCTTACGACACCCACGGGACGAAAAGGGGTGGTGACACTCCGTATTCTTACTCCGGCACCACACGGACCACAATAACTTTTAGCAATTCCTTATTTGCTTTTAACGATTAAGTGAGTACTCAAAGGCTGGCAACTCACTTGTGATTCTTGAGTTGCAAGTGTCCATGGGCGGCGGTAGTTACTTACCATCAGAGGTCCAAGTGTGAGTGTATTTCACATCGACTTGACCGTCACGGTGAACACGTTCGACGCTGTGATTGACTCCAACTAAACTCTTCACCAATCACAACGCCCAACGCAGCCACCGTGACGATCGAAGCGATGTGAAATAAACTCATACTAGGGCCTCAGGTCACCCGTCTGCTCATTTGCTGTCTTATATCATAAAAAAGTTATTTGTACTTTTATATACAAGAGTGTGGAATTAAAAAGCAACCATGGTCACCTTACCCGCCCCCCTTCGGTGCGGGTCGATGTGGCGGTGGGTGGGGGAGGTATCGCACCTTTTGTTTAGGACCCCCTGCGCCCCCTCGTTCATTTACTCGCGTCCCGGTCTCAATGCTGTTTGCAAACGGTTTAGGTGGCTAAATGTAGAAGGGAAATGTCACGTTTTCACTTTTTGTGTACCTTGTGTGTATTATACTTGGTAGGTATGGATTTGGGACCTTAAAGTGGGATCTTTTGTAACCACTTTTGCGTTTAATTTTATAGGTTTTATGCGTTGTAAATTTTTGTTACTACGCTTTTTTTGCAGAATACCTACATAAGTAATAAAAAGAAGTAATTGCGTGAAAGACGATGTCGAGTGATCAAGGAAAATAAAATAATTGAATTGCCCTACATGAGTGTGGGAAAGGGGTAAGAAGATGAAAATGATTTTAAAAAAAGTCTACTCCTGCACTAGGAATTAATCATGTGTCGCGGGGGACTTTACAGACATGCATGCAACGCACACTAAGACCATCTAGACTATGAACAACAATTTTTGCATTGTACAAAGTATAGTCCCATGTGAGGAACGCACCCACAACACTCAGCGCAGTAGGTAGGGGCGACGTGGCCGATTAAACCAAAATACCTAATTATAAAAAAATAAACCGTGGGACACCCGATAGGAATGAAGTTCATTATGCTACTTGACAAATATTTCATTTATAAATTTTGGTACAGGTATATTTCAAAAAAATAATAATTTGCGTGTATTTTTTTCATAAACAAAAAAGTTTTAATAGTGTCGAAAAAAAGTCTTGTTACACATTTTTCCTTCAGGCTCCCATCCACTCAGAGCGTGTAACACGCGATAAGGAACTTCGCTGCTAAATGGAAATTGTATCGTCTGAAAATTATGGAATCTTGGAACGTACTTTTAATCATCATCAACAGTCTGTAACAGTGTACAGCAGGACATAGTACTCTTCTTAAAAAGGAGGTTTTGACCTACTATACCACGCTGGCCAGACGGGTTTCGGGACGACCAATTTCATTACAATATAAAAATTGGCAAATAGCTAACTTTATATTTCGATTAGAGTGAATGCAATTTTGCCTACAAGGCTTAGAGAGAAAATATAAAAATGCTTTTTAAATTCATCCCTTTTTAAATAAAGCACATCATCTTTGGAATACTTAATGTTTATCTGTAAAAGATGCGTAGAAAGCTAAAAAATTTAAACAATGTGCGTAATAAAGTTAAAATTTATGTAACAACGGCTAAATAAAGCTGTAGGGTCCAGTATACAGGGTTACTGGGTAAGTCGACCTATATACTTTAAGGAGTTGTAGTCGTCATAATTTCTGGTAGATTTCACTATGAAATAGTATATCCAAAAAAGAACCTTTTTAAAGATATTGGACTTTTTTTTTTATAGAAATCGCCGCAAATTTGCCTACTACTATTTGCTATTATTAACCATCTATTTCGGCAAAGTTTGTTAAGTTAATTGTAGTAATTGAATTATAAAACAATTTACCAACTACACAAAAACAGTAAAAAAGCATAAAATAAAATAAAGGATATAAGTTCTAAAAAAACTGTATTAGGCACAATTTCGGCAATTTTTATAAAAAATCTTAAAAGTCCAATATCTTGAAAATGTTTAGGTTTGAGATATGGTATTTCATAGTGAAATCTATGAGAAATGATGGCAACTATATCTTCTTAAAATATCTAGGTCGACTTACCCAGTAACCCTGTATAATATACCTATTGAGCTGTCATGGTACAAAAGTCTGTGCAATGACAGTTCAAATTATACTGGAAAATGAAATAAATAAAATAATAAATAATATCACACATCTCACACGCGGCAGTTTGATCCCAAACTAGGCAGAGCCTGTACTCGTACTATGGTATCCAGCCGGCTAGTAAACATACTTATATATTTCTAAATACATTTCATATTACGAGTATAGATAAATTACACCCAAAACACAACGTGTTCATCACACAATATTTGTCCTAGGTGGGAATTGAACCCACGACCTCCGACTTAGCAGTCAGGGTCATTAGCCATTATAGACAACAGGCCCATCAAATAATATAATAAAATTAGACATTTAAAACAGTCAAAATTCGGCCGTGAAGCGATGTAGTATTAGATTAATTATCGGTTTCGCAATTTCACTGTCTGTCAATGAACAATTTTAAAGCAAAATTATTATACATTTATGCTTTACGTAACAAATTAAGTAGGTACCTACTTACTTGCCAAGTAGCATAACTTAAAAATATTTATGTGCTGGCTCAATCAACATAAAGGCGAGCAACAACCGGCAAAAGAATATTGTAAAATTAAAATACTAAAACCCATATTATTAAATTCTATTGTAAATTTACTGTGATATTAAAAACATTCTATTAGAGTATGTTACATCCTATCGTTATATCCTCATCCTAGAAAGAGTAATTTTTTGTCACGTCTCAAATAAAATCGATTGCATGGAACACGGAGCGTTGGTGTCAAGCCCCGCCTACAATTCACGCGAAAGGTGACGATTGGACGAAGCTGTGCACACACACACTTATGTTAGCGGAGTGTATTTCTGTCAATGCTATGACACACAGATGCGGTGACATTAAATATTAATGTGTACATAAATAAATGATAAATTTCAGTACATACATAGGTCGTTTTGTAGATATTACGCGAATCTCACGAGTATTGCGAAGTTTTACGTGAAGTATAATTATGTTTACATACCTATGTAGTGTAGTAAGTGCTCAATTTGGTTCATTTAATGAATTTTCTTATATTAAGTCCGGTAGGCGTCAATCCGGAATTGCTTCATCCATTTATTCAATCGAACGTAAGCGGTGAGTGTTAACTTAGACTAAGACAGTTCCGTGAATTTTAAATTCAGCAATTTACAATGTACCGAATATCAACATTCAATATTGGATTTTAGAGAAGCGCTTTCTCATTCTTCATTATTCATGTTCGAATGTTTTGTCCTACAACGTATTACGGAGATATGGAAATACATTATGTAAAAAAAAATGTAATGATTTTAACTGTATAATACCTACACCTGAAAATGAACATACGTCCAATGACGAAATGATCGACAGAAAATCTTGACAGGATGGTGATTTATCAATATATTACAGTATTAGATCTAATGTACCTACTTAAAAAAGGCGTGATTTCCATACTTCCATACTTATATCAAAAATGTAAAAGTTAGTTTGTTTGTTTCTTACGCTTTCACGCCTAAACCACTAAACTGATTTTAACAATTATTTCACCAATTATAAAAGCTACATTATCAACGACTAACATAGGCTACTTTATACTGCGATAACCGACATACACTCGGGCGGAGCTGCAGGCAAAAGCTAGTACTTAAATAACTGCAGAAGTCGCATGTCGCCCCTAGACATTTTCTTAATTTGCGTAGATTGTCATTTTTTAACCAGCTTCAAAAAAAAAGGAAGGAATTCTCAAATCGGCTGTAGTTTTTTTTTTGGTTACCGATTAGAGAAATTCTTTTTTCAGTTTATTTTATCCCGTTTTCCTTATTCAAATTTCTGGGAAAAACTCCATCCCTAAGGATGAGAATCAAGGAATTAAGAAAACAGTTTATTATTACATTTTATCGAAGGTGCATTGAAAGCGCTGATACTTTTTAAATTTATTATTTTACTAACTGTACCGTGCCACGCTTCGCTGTGGTTGACAAATATAGATAAAAACCATCCTTGAAGCATGTTTTATAACGTGTCAAAGATTCAGCTCAATCGGTGCAGAACTTTTTGAGTTTTTGAAGCGTACACAAACCAACCTAACATTTTTAAAGGTATATGTATATAAATATATTATACACAACGTTTATTCATGCATATATTTTTTACTAATTTAGCTAAAGATAGAGTTAATACTCATTATGTTTGAGTATTATTCCAAGTCAATACAAAATAGAACGGTCATTGAAAATAAACAACATTAATTGACCGTTATTTTATTGTTATAGTGAAAACAATATTTAACAGTCTCTCACCAGGTAGGTTTCTGGATGTTGGCGTACTACAGTATCGTTTAACATCCTTCTGTTAATATACACTGTGTGGTACGTCAATATCCTTCTTCTATATTTAGTATTTAATTTACTCAAAATGCATTGCAGAGAATCCCGATTAGTTCCATATACATATTTATATAGATCATCATCATCATCACCTCAGCCTATACTTGTCCACTGCTGGACATAGGCCTCTCCCAATTATTTCCAGCGGGGACGGTTGATTGCGGCCTGCATCATTTATATAGATGTAATATTATAACTATGGTCCACAAAAATACATGAATTATTGTCACAGTAAAACATTAATTTTTTTGTTAACATATTTCAATCTTAATGGTTTGAAAATTATCTTACGTATACTCAAGATATTCTTTCCTAAAAGGCCGGCAACACGATTATGACTCCTCAGTTGCAGACGTTCATGGGCGACGATGTCACTTTCCATCAGGTGACCCGTCTACTCGTCTGCCCCCTCTAACGTAAAAAATTACTTACCTGACATAAATTTATTGCCAACATTTAATATTTATTAATTAAATTACCTTCTTGAGTTAGAGGAGTCACCTATTCAATAGTATACCTCCCTATTCACAGTGTACGAATATAAAGTATATATTATGTATTTGTATGTATATCTATGCATGTATGTATGTATATTTGTGTATGTATGTGTGTAACTGTATATGTTAGTTAAAACTTTATAACTAATATCACAACTGTGTAACCTCAGTGCACCTACCTTACCTACTACACCACCCAAAGGTTTGCTGGTAGAGAATGCCGTGGGCATTAAGTCCGCCGATGTGAATGAATAAATAAATAAAATTAAAAACACAGATTAGCATACATAAGCCCAACGCCGTTACTCGTATATTGCGGTAGGTAAAGCAAAAACTATCTCGAATCTCGATATGAAATCTAACGCCGATTCCATACAATCGAGCAAGGGAGCATAGTGGCAGATGCACACTTGTAACAAAGGCCGAACATTTGTACTCGTAATATTAAAACTTGTAATAGGAATAATGGCGTTTTGTTAGCACCCTGATCGACAGATCTGATAATTTGAATATGGAAAAGCATTCGGGCAGAATGAGTTTGATGCCTTTGCGTACGATTGCGTTGCTTTTTTTTTAGTTAGTTGTTAAGTTATCATGTGTATGCGGTAGTGGATGACCGTTGGAGCGTGTGAAAGATGTTCGAATTTACCTTCTGAATAAAAATAGTAATAATTACTTAATTAGTTGGATTTTTGATTAGGTATACATTTAAAAAAGAATATTTCATTTAATCATAATTATGTTCTTTATACTTCACAGGATAAACACATTAAAATCAATGATCATAATTCGTGAAGTCTTAAACTTACACATAAGTAAGTATGCGTAAACATAATTGTTTGACAGATAAAAACGAACTGAAAAAGTGTAAGTAGTAGGAGTTGTTTATGCTTTTCTTTCCGAAAGCTAGAGCTGTCACGACGAATAAAAAACAAAACGCTGACGCTTCTCATCGCAACTCAACTCATAATAATTTAACCTTCTAGAAGGTACATTGTTTTATATATATGTCACCTGACTCTCAAGAAACACGCAGCCGCGCTTAAAATCAGGGTTTAAGCACTACTCACCAAATTGAGTTTTGCTGAAGAGCTTTTCAGGCGTGATATTAGTCTTCTCTGAGGTTTGTGTGGCTATGTAGTCGGTGACATCTTCTCTCTGCAGTTCAGGATAGTGATTGTAGTAGTCTCGAGTTTGTTTTTTTGCTGTTTGCTGAGAAATACGATCTGTGGACGAATATTATGTTTTTATTTATAGTTACGGAAAGAGAAAAAAGAAAAATCATGTTATGGTAAAAAAGCGTCGGTGCTAGATCTCAATTGTTGTAAAACCAGTTTATTGACAGATATTTATGAAAGTTTTATTACATTGTAAAACATCTTGAAAAGCATCCCAGGCACTTTTACCATAAATGATTTTTCTTTTTGAATTTATAGGTATTATTTTCTACTTTTTAGAACGGCCAGTTACAAAAGTTTATTTAAACTATAATTTATTTTGCTTTTCAGTCATTAATGATGATTGTTTTCTCATTAAGATTAAAAAGAAACACGTGTACATATATGCTTCAGCACACGCCTCTTAGTACGTAGCAAAAGACACTACCGTATTTTTAAGGTGTAAAAGATATCAATGCTACAAACGTTACCTTACATTGTCTGGTAGTTTTGGACTATCGTTTTAAAACATCACTGTTTAGAAAATAGTATGTATGTAACAATAGAAAACAACCTACTCTGGGGAGGACCCCGACCATGTTATTTCAGGTCCCAGGAGCCAGGTCCTATCCCGGGGGTAGCAGGCTTAATGTATGAATAGATTTGTAGATGAACCAATGGCTCGATTTCTTTGTTTCAATTTACTTGTCTTAATAATGTCTATTAAGACATTTTGATGTGTTATTACACACATCAAAATGTTAATACATTACAGATACACAACAGAATACAGTGTCATCACTCCTATTCATGCCGTGGGTGTCGTAAGAGCCGACTAAAGGAAAGGGAGTAAACTATGCAGGACACCAGCACCGCAAAGAGAAGGAAAAATTGAAACAAACCCTATACCAACCCGTCTGGCCAGCGTGGTATAGTAGACTGCAACCTCCTTTCTCAGGAGAGGCCTATGTCCAGCAGTGGACTGGTAAAGGTTGTTGATGGTGATGATTAAATAGTGTAGGTGGCACTGTTTAATATTTTTTTATGAAGTACCCCTATTTTTAACCAACTTTAAGAAAGGAGGAAGGGAACCTTACGTGTCTGTCATTTATAAACCGATTTGAAAAATCGTTTTTTAGGGTATATTTTCTATTTAGCCCCATTTTGAAGAAAAAAATAACTACCCCCTAAGGATAGAAAATTAAAGAATAAATTACACTTTATTGTTGTTGAAAAAAATGTTCGTTGGGATAGATTTAAGTTGGATTGAAGTCGGTGATAATTTTTTATTGCTAATTATTTACTTTTGCTTGACATTCCCTTAATGTGAGATTTTCTTTGTACCAAGCTATTATAAGCTTCGCTGATAAGCAACAAATTAAGTAACTAGAAGTAAATTTTATATATATATTACATAGAATTAAAAAAAAAAAATACCTACTTCTTATATTAGGTTTGCCACTTATGACGTAAGTGGCACTAAAATTATCGTAGCAAACTACGGGCGTTTAATAAACTTCTGTCTACCCCTTCGCGGATAAAGATATGAGTGTATGTTTGAAGTGTGTGTGTATATGAAATAAAGCTTTCTAATTTAGCTTCGAAACTTGATTTCGTATTCGATCGAAGGGGACAATACAATAATTTGGTAAGTTGGAGTTGATTTAGGCTTGGTGCAAATAGTCTGATGCATGATTAAGCCATAAACTTTGTAATGGAACTCTTTTTCTCTTTTCTTTTTGGGTGGGCATAAAGCGTGTTCTTTTAGTTGTACTAAGCTATGTTTATTTTTCTATATTAAACTATTTCCTTGATTTAAAATTTCTTTTTCAACTTTGTTACTTACAATATAGGTATAAAGTATTGAGCAAACATTAAATTAAGGTGAAACTTAAACATTATTCAGATCCCTAACAGTTTTTTACAGTTGTAGGCTACGCAAGTCCTTAATTCTAAAGCAAGTACTAACTAATATTTTCTGTAGTTTTGATCTTCGTATTCTAGTAAATATTCCAAACACAGTTGGTGTTTGGAATATTTAGTAGAATCATTAGTGTCCCTAGTAATGACTTCTAAGCGGAACGCTTCTCAAGTTAGCAAACAAATATAATTTACAAGATATAATTATACTGATATCAAAGACTGTGAAACCATAAATAAATGAAAATATGAATACAATAAACAGGAAAATGTTAAGTACTGAAAGGAAACATCGAATGAGAATTAAAAACTGAAAATTTAATACTTCCTAAAACATCGAACGGAAACCGCTAAACGCCACCACCCTTCAGCGTGTCCACACAAAGAATTGTAAAGTCCTTGCAATTTGTACCCTCTGGTTCTGGCGGGTACCACGTATATACTTATCGATTTATCGCAAACACGGCTCGTGTTTTAAAAAGTCAAGTAAAAACGTGTTAGGCTGTTCTCGAATCTGTGGCGTCGGGGTCATGGTTCAATTTGTGTTGGTCCCAATTCTGTGTATAGGATCTGCCAGTTTGGCGGCAGTGTGTAAAAACGTCGTCTTGTCGTAGGCACGCCGCCCCTCCCTCGACGACATTTTTACAAGAGTGGAGGGAGGGGGGCCACCCGCGAATGCTCCCGTCATTTCGTTGTCATCCAGGGCTCCTTTTTGCACGACCACGGCGCGAGCTTCGGTCGCGACAATACTGTTCACAATTTTTATTCTTTTCGAAAAGAAAATGCGGGAAAAAAATATATAGGCCCGCAGAGGAAAATGACGAACAATGCCGCCCTTCGTCGAGATTACCGCCATCAGAAAATGAATGCTTTGTTAGGTCCAACGGATGTTTTCAGTTGTTACTTGTTACATTAGACTTGTCATTTCCATTACACGAGCCTGGCTAGACATGAAAAGTTACAACACAACGACTATTTACGTTTCAATTTTGGAAAATGTCAGAATCCTTTTTCAATGTAACAAAGAGTTCTACAGAAATTCGTAGGTACTTTCAATCTGTTTATATAGCTAATACCAGTTTTCCATTTATAACAATTTTCAAAAAATATAAAGGAAAGCTACTTAAATAGAAACCATTGAAAACAAAAAGTAATAAGAGAAATGACAATTTTAATTAATTAACAATGCTAAGGGTGGGGAATAATAAAGGTATTAAAATATTATCGGAGGTGATAATGTAAAGGAGTCAAAATAGTTTGGCTGGAGAAACTACTAGTTTTTTTTGCTTCTTGGCAGGGTTGTTAAAGCTTCATAGATGAGAATAAGGGGTTAAGCAGCGAGAGACACCTCAACTTTATTCTTCACTGTTTACTCATCGTTTTTATTTATAGTTAGTTTAGCGAATGTACATTATGTTTCATTTGTGATACGTAACATAACAGAAAACTTATTAATTTCAGCTTTAAGAGTGCTACAACAAAATATTACAGTTATAGTTTTTAAAATAGTTATAATTACCCACTGATAAACTGTTGATAAAAAATTCCTAAAAATATGTACCTCTCGTCATTCATATTGGGTCTTCACTATATACATTACATAATATACTAAACATAACATATTACAAAGTGGAACTGGAATGAGTTCTATTTACAATGCGTAATATTTACACCGGTAACTGTTAGCGCTTGTCTATTACTTTTTGTATGTACTAGCATTTAGAGACACTGGCTGCACTAAGATTACCCTACACACAGTACACGACCATACAGTTTACAAGCTAATTATTGAAAAATAATAAAACTCGACTGCGTAAAAATGTATACTTGAAATTTACAAAAACCGGCGATTTTAATTTTTATGATTTTCATATACCCAGTGGAGAGAGATCTTACAGTTAAAATGAATTTAACGACACCTCAAAGCCAAAATCCGTCAAGCCGCTTAGGCCACATAACCTGCTTAAGAAACATACATAAATACATACACTCAAAATACATTACCCTCTTTCTGTCTTGTAAAATAAACAACGTTGCAAGTACAACGTCCACGAAAAACGGGTTTGTCAAACTCATTGCTAGAAAGTAAGTTTATTATTTTACAACCATTCCTCTTCAAATTTACATAAAAATAGATGCTAGCTAAAACTTTAATTAAAAAGAGTCCAGATAAAATCACAGAGAAGAAACTACAAGTTCGCCGACGTAAAAAGACGATCAAATGTTTGAATACGACGGTGATATGATTGGCGGCGAAGTGCGGCGAAACCAAAGCTTTGTGGTTGAACCGATTTGTATGAGTATCGCGTTACACCACGTTATAGCACGCTTTCATATTTGAGAAAAGACCTAAACCCTTTGAGTTCACCGCCTTGATTGGATCAAAGGAATTAGGAATTTAGTTCAGTGTTTAGGTTCAAAAGTGTCTAGTATCTTAGAATCTGCACTAGACTACTTTCAATTCTTTGATTGTAAAGCTAAAATTACCCATAAATTCCTTAACTTTTTGGTAATCTGTTCACATGAAACCTAGAAAATAGAATCGAGAAATTTAATCTATATCTATATGACGCCTAACTTCTATTGAGCAATGTAACCGTTTTATACAATCTATGATTGAACCTAGAGTGTTGACTTTACGTCAGGCTAGGCTATCAAAGTTTCCATATCTTTATAGTCCTCCAAAATAATTTTATAGGTCTATTGAATAATAAATCGTTGTTTTTGAATTTAAAGGTGGTTTAACAACGAGTTGGTAATCAGCCATAAATTTAGTATTGATCGATGCTGTCAAAGGCCTTTGAAAAGTCGTAAAATATTTCATTCGATTTTTATTTAGTGATGGCAGTTTTTTAAGAGCTCGAGTTTCCGTGCTCGATGTACGTTATCGGAAAGCGATCGTATCCGTTAGATTTCGTGTCGAGCGCGATACAACCCTTTATCTAGATCGGGGTAGGTAGTCCCGTCGCCGGCAAGCGCCGCTTCGCATTTCATTACCACAAAAATTATTCAATTATTCATTCCAACAGCCCGCTACAACAGATCATTGGTAAAGACTGTCTTCGTCTGGATTGATTTGGTATACATCCGAATAGTAAAACCTTCATGAACTTAACCTTCAGAAATTTCTGTATACGGTAATTGAATAG